ACCTTGTGGAACTTTCTATCTTTAGAACTTTGTTGTTATTTCAGCCTGTCTTAATCTAATAATTTTGATCTTTCAATAGGCCTCCTTCCTTAAGCATCTTCATCCTCAAGCCCTCATTAAATTCCTCGAGGGCCGGGTTGTCTGAAAGCCAGGTGGCGCTAACCCAGGATTAAAAGTTAACCAAAGTATCAAAATCCTCAATAATCCTGGGTTAGTTTAGTTGGACTTTTCAAGATCAACCCAGGGGTTTTAGGGAAGAAAGAGATGGGGTTCTAAGCATATGACTACACTGTAAATGCAAGCAGTTCCAATAGTTCAATAGATGTAATCGTTACCAAATCATTAGCATTTTTCTTAACATTAGTTTTTCAGGTCAAGTAACTGACCTTTGTCTGGCTTTGACTGGAGAGCCCTCACATATTTGAAACTTTGTCAGCATTGAGCTGATCATTTCCAGTAATGGAAACCAAAAATTAATACTGACATGTCATTGATCCCTATGGCTACAATACACTTTACAATACCTTACATTAACCAAATAATTTATTTCTGTTTCAGGACTTGGAGGAATTGAACATTTTTTAAACAAGCAAGAAAAAAAATCACATAATCCATTTTTAGAAGACTCCACTCCAAAGACTTCTCTGTTGGATTTAGCAGTGGATGTTTTAACAACAATCACATCTAGAAGAAATTCTTGTAAGTATGCACTCTGGGTACAGGTGATATTTAAGAGCTATTTACAACTTAACAACTACATTGTGCTGTATGGAAGATGGATGCCTGGGATATCCAGGGGCCTCCACTGTCACCAGCCAGCCCCTAGACATCATAACGCTCCCATGGCTGGTAATCACCGCAACCCAGCCATAAGCCCCCACGCAGTCTNGGGGGGGGGGGGGGGGGGGGGGGGGGGGGGGGCGAAAGACATTGACAAATAGACCAAAGATGTGCAGGAAACTGCTCAATCCTATGACCAAAATGTTCCATGGGCCACCACACTGGAACACACTAGTACTATGGCAAAGTGCACTGAGCCTGTAATACCATACGAATACCACTGAATGGAAAGTACCAGCTACTCTTTGTTTCTCTTTTGATTGTTGCACTGTTGCTTATGAATGTTGTTAATTTGCAACACTGGGACATTTTCTTGTGGCCATTCAATAAAGCTATTATTTACCCCACATGCCCCTTACGGACATCAACAATATAACCCTGAAACAATCATTAGAGTCTAATGGGCTGACAGCAAGACTCCATACAATCACACATACCTATACACTGTGTATGTTGTTTTGAGGAGGGGGAGGTATACATCCTTCCTCTTCTTTTCTCCCAGTAAATCAGTTTGCGAATATAGGCACAAAATAACTTTATGAAAACTTTGATGTTACTTTTTTTTGCAGATGTATATAATATTGTAAGCAACAGAGGATCTGTGGGAAGATTTTGTCTCTTCAAGTCAGCTTACAGGATTGGTGAAGAAATTGTAGGATCTTTTGACTTTTCTGATTCCCTTATTATTTGTCTCAAGGTAAACATCTTGATTGGGTCTTGTATCCAAGCACTAGTGTTCATTGCACTTGTCTAATTATTAAAGTTATGGAACAATAAAAAGGCTCCATTATTTTGCTGAAATTGAGTTAATTCAACTGTGTACTTTGTTAGCCAGATTTTGATGGATACCCAGGCTAGTGTCTTTGTAACATTGTAGTCCTGTGATTGTCACACAAGCCAGGGATAAACATTTCTTGGTTTGATTTGATAGTCACCAGAATGGATGGGTCCAGGAAATTTAGAAATGGGGCTATAGCGGTTGGGGGTAACAACTTGGGAGGGGTGGGGATGATATGCCCCTCCTGAAAAACTGCTGTGCTCCTGTCTCCAGGGAAAATGTTACTTCAACTCGTACTATTAATCACAACACACCCCATTATTGCAAGTTGCTATTTCCTTTGTTTGGTGTTAAATCATCCTTATTAATATTTTGCTGTTATGTGCATTTGTAGTTTTCCGCTGTCCTACAAAGTGAAGAACATATTCCTGAAGATTTGCGCAGTCCTTCTAAGCAGTCTGTGGAAGTGACATACTCATCATTTACTTCTGTTCAAGAAAACTGTTTGCATACCAAGAAGACTCATATGGTTTTACCAATACCTTTTACTGCATGTCCAGAATTTGTTTCTGATTTAGGTAAGTCAGGTGTGAACAAATGACAGTATATAATAAATCAATTTTTCCACAGTTTGTTTCAACTGCCTGCATCATGTTTTCTTCTTGCGAATGGGAAATTGTGGTAAAGGGTAAAGTCTGCATTATGAGCCAAGTGGCCCATCAGCATGTAGTCTCCTCCGCAGCCGTTTTTTGGGATGTCACACAACGCTCTCCCCAAAGAAACGGCTGCTCACATCCAAACAACATTCTTTTCCTTTATGTTTGTGGTTTGTTTGCGCTCTGTTGAACAGACCAATTGCATAATAGCAAAGTGTGAATGATGTAAGTTTTCGCGCGAAAAGGCCTGCGGTGCGAACACGCGAGAGAATTTCTGGCTTTTGTTTCACGCCGCACGTCGCCAAAAATGGGTGGTGTTCGCAGGCTACCATCATGACAGACGAAAACAAAAGATAAATGAAAGCCCTAAGTACAAGTGCTTCATGTGCTCATCGCTATGTTCAGCTAATGAGAGAATATATATTTTCTGGAAATGTCAAATTGTAAGCGTCAATCAAGAGCTAAACGCTTTCTACAGATTGAAATCAGGAGGAAAGAGGACAAAGAGCGGCATCCAGAACTTGCTGTCAACAAATCGAGCGAAGCTACTTGATTTTCTGATTCCTTTATTAAATTAAAATAGAAATCTTCCTTCTCGACAATAATTTTTTGAGTTGAAAGCTTCTAATAATTAGCTTGAACTTTGAAGAGTCTTGAGCTACATAGAAAGTTCATTCAAGCGTCGCCGGTATTTTTTGGCATCCATAAACAAAAGCCGGAAATCTGTATGTTCATTTGTGGCATCTCCCACGACGGGATACAAAGATAAAAAACATTCTCTGATTTCACAAGTTTCAAAGGGCGAATTTAGCGCGAAAACGTTCTTGAAAATGGAACGGAAGCGGTGATTGGCTAATTTGTTGAAAGGAATGTTGTTCGGATGTGAGCAGCCGTTTCTTTGGGGGGAGTGTTGCGTGACATCCCAAAAAACGGCTGTGGAGGAGACTAATCAGCATGGTGCTTATATCTGGTTTCTGTAGTATGAAGTGAGTAGGAGTATTTCTACTCCCCCCTGAATGGGATGCTGGTCCATTGTAGGTTTACAATCAGCGATAAATTTGCCAGTACCCATTTATATGCTTGGGTGGAGAGAGGCACTGTGAGGGTAAAGTGTCTTGCCAAGATTACAGCACAATGTCCCTGGCCATGCTCAAACCCATCTCAATCTGGAGATGAGCGCACTCACCATGAGGCCACCACACTGCATGAATAGGAATGCATGTTTGTTTAATAAAGTCATGTTTATCACTCATGAGGTTAACCAGCAACCATTTTCTTTATTTCCCAGTTTGCTTAAAATGGAGACTACATTTTGAATTTACACTGGCGTCATCACCATTACCAGCAGGAGCTAGCCCAGTTCAATTAACATCTCCTTATACAGACATTGCCACTTGGCAGGGCCCCCCTGATGTAGATGCAGAAACCATGACATGGGACCTGCCAGTCAAAATTATTGCTACTAATCCGCTGCATGCCTCATCGATTTCAATGCACAGGACAAGTAGTACAATGGTTTTCTAATACATAAATGACTAATAGTAATTGAATGGGTGAATCTAATGTTAATTCTGAGGAAAATGACAATATCAACTATTGCTAACATCACCTTGGATGTTATCATTCCAACCTCGATCTTCTACAGCTCACTTTGAAAAGGAGTAATGACGTGGGCCAAGACTATGATCCACTGAATAATGATTATTCTTACACTGCATCAAAGAATGAGGTATCCAGGAATTAAAAAAATGGGTTTCCTGTGCTCAGACTATTTTGTAGGCATTAGTGAAATTTTACAGTTTTCTTCAGGTTAGGTATCCTGTGATACTCAGGCACCTTTCTGCACAGGATATCTGGTTATAAGCTTGGCCAGGCTTAATAGGAGCTACATCCCCTCAGTATGGGTCTCTTTTTTATACAAGATGGATGTTTTTCTTTTATACTACAAAGTTTCTTTCTAGGGATTTTAGCAAAACATTTTAAACTGTTTGGCCTAAGGATGGTCTTGAACAGAAACAGTGTTAAACTCCTTTTGTGAAGAACACCTGAGGAAAAGTTTTTTCAGCAAAATTTAAAGCATTGTTTTATATGGTCATGGCTTATTTTAGAAATGTCAGTTGAAGGGGATTATCTGAGAAATATCTTTGTTAATATATAAAGTTCTTTTTCCACACTTGCTTGGTATATTTATATTTAAATATGTTTTCACTTTCATATTTGAATTTTCTTTATTCCAGTCTAGCGTAAGGGATAGATAGGTTGAATCATGGGTAGTAAAGGCATTTGCAGTCAAGTGTTGATTGACACCCTCAATCAACCCTCGATTGACACTCCATTGATACTCCATTGATATTCTATCGACACCTTGATTGACACTCGAGTGACATCTTGATCGACAGTGGGTAAGGGTCGACTAATTTTCAATCAATGGATGTGAGTCGGTCAACACTCAGTCAACTATTGACCAACGGCTGATCAATTGCCAATTAAGATGTTGATCGAGTGTCAATCGCAGGTTCATTGCAGTTCAGTCGAGGGTATGTATCAACACTCGACTGTGGATGCTATTAGCAGATTATCTGATAGGTCTTGCTTAGTGATTATTACATGGCTAAAGACTTGCTGTAGAATGCATGTTCTCCAAAGCACCTAATTAATGTGTATCATCTTACTTTGTATACCACAGATGCCAAGCCTTTTTCATGTTAAACCCTGCCATTTTGAAATCGTAGGAGTCACACTGCACATCTTTTCTGTTTTCTACAGTAGTTATTTTGACTATTGTTTTTTGTGGTTTTAAGATCAGTCACCATCGAGTAGTTCCAGAAAATATCCATACTTCCCCNTATGGATATTTTTCTGGAACTGCACATTTGTTTGTGACAGATAATTCGTTTTTGCCAAGTGGTCAAACTTGATTTAAGGCTAATCCCTTTTTTCCATCCTAAATCAATAATGGTGTTTTGAATCATCGTAATAATTACAAAGAACTACATTCTAGTGCAAAAAGGGGCATGAGAGAATTGCTTGGAAAACATTCTTTGTGTGCGAGTTTGTTTGTAAATAAATACATAATGTACAGGTAATAACAATTTACTGTTAATATTGTCCAATGTGTATATTGAAGACAAACAATGTCATATTCAAGAATAAATGACACTATTTTATGAAACAGCCTTTGGTATTTATGTGGTGGAGATTTTACATGAGAAACAGCAATTTCCATGCTTCTATAAATTTGAATGAAGTAAGCAGGGATGCTATGCATGCTGTGAGTTACTGAGAACCATTTATTATGTAAGAAAGAAAATTATTTGAACGTTTGTGTCATGAAGAAAATGAAGGACTGAATGTATTTCAAAGAAAAGTTCAAACTAGGGATCCTAGGGATCATTCCATTCTCGTCCCCAGAGGCCGCGCTCCTTTAGGTCAGCACCAAGAATCGCGACCTTTGGGAACGTCCGATTTTCTGAGCATGCGCAGAGTAATCGTTTCGTATTCTCAGCCAATCGGATTTGCCAGACTTGCCTCTGAGCACACACAGAGTGACGAGAAGTCCATGAATCGCGGACTTCTGGTGCTGGACCTTCTTCGTGCTGCTGACCAAAAGGAGCGCGGCCTCTGGAGACGAGAATGGGGATCACTCTAAAGCTGAGAGAGTTTGCGCATGGTCAGAATGTAAGTAGGCGTATGGCTAGATTGTTTTGTGTGTACGTGTTGTATTAAACAGGGATGAATGAAGTCAATGTAGGGCTAGAATGTTTGTGGTGTTTGAAGTTCGATTTGGTCTGTAATTGACCTATTAATACCATTTATTTCATTACTTATCCTATCTAAAACAAATTTTCTCGATTGTGATTGGTTCTCCGCGCGACTATTTGTCACGTAGTCGGTGCGCGATCACCTGGGTGTCTTGGATACCTACGCCATTTGCACGTCAATTGCGTGAGCTTTAATAATGGCTTCCAACAGTTTTACAACTACTGGAAAACACTACTCCCCTGGACTACTAACTTTTTCACTCAAAAGAAGTTCTGAAAAGATTTTTTTTAATCTCGGATTTTTTTATTGATACGATTAATTGGTAATTGGATCTCGTGTTGTACAATTCGGGGAGAAATCGTGCTCAGTCGTAATTTAAAATCGGCGTCGCGCTTCGCGCTCGTCCTACTTTGAAATTACTCGCCCGATTACTCCCTAAATTGTAATACCCTCGGTCCAATTACTATTACTTTTACCAATCGTGCCTTTAACAAAATTGACCAAAATTTTCGTTTGTGATTGGCTCTCTGGGCGCGTATTTGTCACCTAATCGGTGTGCGATCAAGTGGGTGTCCAATTACTGGTATGATATCCAATTACAGCTTATTGTAATTGCACGCCTGCGTCATTTACACTTTAATTACGTGGGCCAGTAATCAAATATAATAGTGCTAGAACTTTGCGTGGATTTAACGATTTTGCACTTTTGGTGACCCCATTTTTCGCAAGTTTTGATAGATCACCTCTACCGCATTTCTGCGTTTTGCGAAAAAATGAACAAATCTATCATTAGAAGTTTGAAATGTTTGCCTATTATGTGTAAACGGGCTCTTTTAAGGTGGTCTTATACCTAAAATTTTTTTTTTTTGCAAAACAACTCTGTGGAACAGTTTTGGTATCACGTTAAAGGACTTTGCACTCTGACTTCAAAAATGAGCTTTTCCAGCTCACGTGCCACGATAGTTAATGAATAACTAGCTCCTTAGTGTTAAAAAGCAAAGCTAAGAAGAGATCTGGAACGAAGTTAATTCAATATTCCTCAGTTGGCCCGTGACGGTCAAATATTCGTGACAGTCGTTCTTGGCCGTCACAGGATTTGCCAATTAACCTTACCCGTCAGCTGACAAGCCAGTATACATATCGTGCTTCAACTTCCCAACAATGAGTTCTGTACCAGTAATAGATATTTCGCCTCTATCCAAAAGTAAGTGGTTTCCATGTTACTTTATAAGTGATCAAACGGAATCCCTATATGACATATGCATATACTGTTTGAGTTCATAGGTCCACGGAGGACGGGTAGAGTTTCTTTTGTACGGACTTCGCCTTCAGCTTGGTCCAAATGCATAAAGGTCTTATGAACTTGCGAAAGGATAATGATGTCTCTTTTTGCAACTGATTATTATGAAACTTTGACAAGCATGTGAAGTTCAAAGCGAAAAACTCATTGACCGTAGGCACAATCAAATATGCAAATTGAATGTGGTAATATGCGCACAGAGCGTTTCATTGAGCATTTCTGACTACAGTGACCTAGACCCAGCTAGAAACTTGAACAACAAATATTCTTCCCCCCAAAATAGAAGTTTCCCTTTATTTATCCGCCATGTATTTACAAACTCAAAAGTAAATGGCAACGCTTTTGACGCGAGTCTAATGTTCTCGGATGTTCCTTGCGTGAGGAGTGATAACATACGAACGCCGGCTAAATATTATCTTCCACGTCTAGAATCTTTTCAGCATGTTGAAATATATAATCCCAATAAGTAAACGTTTCTTAGAAAGGGTTTTACCTTTAGAGCCTTATTCATGGCTGGAAGCTTTAAGTTTATCATACAATATTGCTATAAAAAATCAGTTGAACATTGACAGTGGAACATTGACTGAGAGCAGAATCCTGGCAGTCTGTGCACCAAAATGGACATTTTCATACTCCATTTCCCTTAAAATCGAAGTGTTACATAAACTGCAAGCTTTGTCTCATGTCGCGTTAATATACTTCGATCTACTTTGTTATAATTTGCGTAACAGTGCCATTAGCGACCTTTTATATTATAGAACTTAAATATTCATAAAGCAGTTTGCACGATAACCAATGGGCTCATTATCCCGTCACGATTTTCCGTCACAATATTATCATACCACTTCTATTCCGCACATGCTTGAGTTCTCCACTAGTGATACACATTTTATCCGTGTGCAAAAGTAGTCCTTATGGTACTTTATAAGAGGTAATCTGGTAAGGTGTGATTTTAGCGCCCCAGCTTCCCGCAAAATTATGGAGCACGTGGTTGAACGGTGTGGAAGCGCGGTGGCTTGATGCATAGTTTGTACGGTCGCCTCCAGATGGAGCAGCTCGGGTTCGGCCTCGTGTTGTGTTCTAGGGCAATACACTTAATTCTCGCAGGGCCTCTCCCACCCAGATGTATAAATTTAATGCTGGGGATAACCCTGCGATGGACTCGATCATCCCATCGAGGGATGAAGTTGAAATTCTCCTGGTCTCTTCATATCACAGAAACCGAGATAAGCGCCGACCTGATGGGCCAGTTGGCTCGTATGCAGACTTTACCTTTACGTGGCTCAATGTAAATGAGTTATAAATCCTGACTTATTCCAGTCTAGGCTATCTCACACGCAGATGTTGACGTCTTTTAACACATTTTTTTTTGCACAACTGGCGGTTAGGGCTTTTATGCACAGACGTGACAACGCATGCTCAATGCAAGTGCCGCCTCGTCTAGATGCTTACGATCCCTGTTATCATTCTCGTGTGGGCATCCGTGGATTATACGTAAGCAATCGTCCGACTCGTCTGAATGACAAATTGCACTACAGACGTAAACGTACAAATATTCGTCTGGACAAAACCTTGCCATACTTTGCAAAACTACAACGAAAAAAGACTAAGTCATGCGCATTCGCCCTCGACTTTTATGAGGAGATAATACATTTGGCCTTTGGCCTCATCAATTATCACCGCTTAGAAATCTAGAGCTCATGATCTAATTGTTAAAAAACCGAGTGGAAGTTTGGAATACACGAGCTCCAAGTGAGTGTTTCTACTGCTTTATCGAGTTCTCCCAAAACTTGCTCATCGTGCACAATGTGGACCCAATGTACCAGAACATGCACAGTTAGCCAGCAGGCTATGTTGCCTTTCTATTCTACTGCCTTTTTTTTTTTTTGTTTAATAGAACGTCTCATTTGTTTTTGTTCAAGCACAGATGACAACGTAGTGGACCAGCAAGCTATAGATCAGGTCTATAAGCAGATTCACCAAACTTGTAAAGATATTGGATTCTTCTATATAACTGGTCATGGAGTGGAGCAATCGACCATGGACTTACTTTTAAGATATACACAGAAGTTTTTTGCTCTTCCAATGGAAAAGAAAACTGCTCTCAGCATTCATAAGAGCCCATCCTACAATGGATACATTGAGCCAGGTACCAAATATTCCTTGGAATCATGTACGTTAACTTAATTTCAAGGTAATATACTCAGTTTGCCATGAACTAGAAGTTCATCACAGGTAAAAACTTTGTCGGGAATCATTTCATCGTTATTTTCGATTCCGCAACTGGAAACTAGTTCATCAGAAGCCGCTTCTTCATGATCACCCCAGAAAAGGCAAAGCGACTGGAGGAATAATTGTCTTAGCAAAAACCACAATTGAAGGACACTAGCTGGGCCTTTTTAGTTTCGGGGACAATTTTATCTTGATCGAATAAAGATTATCGTTCAGGCTCTCTGTCCTTTGCCTGCCTTGTCGACGAGGGAGGCAAAGGAGAGAGAGCCTAGGATGATGATGATGATGATGATGATGATGATGATGATGATGATGATGATGATGAACATAAATGACAATAAGAGCATGTAACGAAGAAGTTCTAGGAATTAATGATTGTAAAAATGTTTCTTAAAACTTGTATGAGGAATTATGAAACCACGGGAAGACGATGATACTATCGGGTACTGCAACAACCGGTAAAGGAATTCATTGAATAAGATGGAGAATAAGATAAGTTAGTAAGTTCTGCTTATCGGTTGATTAAAAGACTTTTAAAATGTGTCTAGGTTGTGAAAGGACTCAAAATGTTGCAGATATCAGAGAAGGGATTTATTGTGGTCGGCAGTTGCTACAGTCGCATGATGGAGATGCAATGGTGATGAGCGACAATTTTCCAGAGGAGACTGATTTACCAGGATTTGCAGAAAGTGTAAAAGGCTACAAAGCTCAGCTCACAAAATTAGGGTAAGATGAAGAGGCAGTACATGTGGATAAGTCATTCTAATACAGTGGAACCGCGTTAATACGGTCACCAACGGGCCATGAAAACTTGGCCGTCCTAACAGGGTGGCCGTAATAACGGGGTGGGGTCAAATTTCATGACTGGTCTAAGCTGAGACGTCCAAACAGATATAAGCATCCGTAAAGCAGATATAATTTTTACAAAATTGAAACTTTAATCAGTACATACAATATTAACAATGGGAAGATGAACATAACTTGTTTGAGTTGTCGTATAAACGGGGTAAAATTATAGATTGAACAGGTTGAGATTTCAGAATGTGGCCGTTTGCCGTATTAATGAGGGTGGCCGTATTAACCGCGGGGTTTGGGTTCCACTGTAAAGAAATTCATTTTGATTATCAGTCACTATCATTTTCCTCACCTCGTGCCATTGAGTTCAAATAGCAATGAAAATTGCAGTTTTTGTCTCGAAAGAAACTCTTGGTACTTGACAGCCTTTCGCATTACAACTAGGAGGAGACAGCGCGCTTTTTGGCAACAATAAATAAAACCATTAAAATTCAATTTCACATTGGTGGTGCAGTTCAGTGGTGCAGTTCATTATTCTTAGTTAGTGATTTTCTCATCTGCTGTTTTTTGACAAAGTGCACGGTTACTTTTCTGCAACAGATTTGCAATGATAAAAGCCTTGGCTGTTGGATTAGGACTCCCAGAAGACTACTTTGTTGACAAGTGTTCCCCACCTATGAGTATTCTAGCTTTCTGGCACTACCTACCCTACCCAGGTGACACTGACTCTTGGGGGGTAGGACCGCACACCGATTCTGGCATGTGGACCTTTTTACTGCAAGATGATATTGGTGGATTGGAAGTGGAAATAACAGAGGGACAATGGGTTGAAGTGAAACCAATACCAGGTAGTGTGCAACGCTCTTTATGTTTGGCTCCTGATTTTTGAAAACATCTCCAATCTACTAGCTACTTTACTATCGTTTGATGGAAGGCATCTACGCTCTGATGGTATAGGTTCTCGAGACACTGGCCATATTGCAGTAGCACAGCAACCCTTTATAAAGCGTCTCCCACCTGACACTGGGTAATGAACTTTTCCATTCTTTGTGGCAACCAGATATTAACTATTTCTTGCTTATTAACAGGCACATTCGTGGTTAACCTGGGAGACTGCCTTCAGGCCTGGACCAAGGGTTTATACCGAGCCACAAGACATCGTGTAAGACGTTCAATCAAGACAGATCGATACTCAGTGCCATTTTTCTTTAACCCAAATCGAGGATGTATTATTGAGCCTATTGAGACTGACATCACAAGAAATCTGACCTTCACCAAGATTGTAAAAGGCCTTGAGATGCCCTTTCGCTATGGTGATTTCGCTCGAACACTTTTAGAGAAAAGCCACGGCTGGAGCAGAGGACAGAATAACATAAATTGAAGTTTGACTGCATATACTTTATTTTTGACACCTCTAACTCTTACTAACGGTGTGCAAAAAAGTCTTGCTCAGGGTTAGTTCATTTTTCCATCAGGCTACTGGATTGATTATTTCATTTAACCAAGGACAGATTCATACATTTTGTCGGTATTGCATGATAAGAAGTTTTGCCGGGCAAATCCATGTTCAGAGAAGGACAGTCGGGAAAGGCAAGCTTTCTGCTTCAGCTAACTCTAAATAAAATAAACACCGAAATACTACCTTCTGCGCCGTTGTTTTTCGGCAAAAGACTTCTCATCAAGTTGCCTTGTTTCAAAATTTTCAGGTGAACCCCAACTGTATTCACATTTAAATTACAAGCAAGTGCGATCCCGTTTTAACATTTTTGTATTTAAATGTCACAAATTAACAAATAGATTCCATGTTGCCGTGCGTCTGTTTAGTAATAGATCACAGATGACGTCAAAACGTGGGAAGAACAAAAAAACTGGCTCAAGAGGCGATAGCCGAGTGTCACTGATGTTTTTACAACAGTTTGACGTCTTCTGTGATCTATTACTGGACGACGCACGGCAACAAGGAATCTATCTGTTTTATACGATAAAGAAATAAGAAAAATGTTAGTGACGTCATCTATACGTCTTATTCTCTTGATGCGAGACAAGTGATGCTAGTGAGTAGCGCCCTATGTTAGGAGGAATTCTGTCAGCTCGTGTGAGCGTGGCGCCCGGTAACAAAATGAACATTCAACGTTCTCATTCCAAGAGACGCTCATTTCAGCCTCGGCACTAGGAAAAGTTGGCTTTAAAGACTTTCCGTTTTTGGTTGATCTCTAGCTGCATGAAACCGTTGAATTAGAGCACCTAAGGACCTCAACATAATTACAATTCTTTACAATTCCACCTCTAATTCCAGCCTTAGATACCAACAATACCAGCGGTTAGGCGTTCCGGCTGAGTTACATGGGAGAGTTAAAAAGACCGATTCCCGCTTCACTGACTACCCTAGGGACTACTCCGCGGACTACCCTAAATAATCAATCAAATTTACTTTTACAGGGAAAAGAGCCACAAGAAGCCTACCTGCTCCACCTACACGATCATAACTGTATGATAAAAAAAACAGTCAGTGGACAGTTGCCATTTTCTTTTCACCGACTTCCTCGACCCAGTCGTTTTTTCATTTTCGCCTCATTCTTTCGTAGTCTACCCCTCGGGTTATTGTGTTTGGAGTAATTATTCGGATAAATTCCCAAATGTTTAACAGACATTTTAAACTGAGAGAGGGAAATTTTGCGTTCATTTGTAATACATAGCCAAAAATATCATAAAATTAATTTAGTTCACCTGTTTGTAGTTTCTTTCGGGGCGTCAATTTCGATGATCTCGATTTCTCTAGATGTAAGGAAGGGTTCAAAAGGGCTGCTTTTTCAGCAAATGTTAATGTTGATGGCAAATACTTAAGGCAAATCAAAAAGGTTAATATTAAACAGCACTTACCGATCGTCCATTCTAAAAACGGGGTTTGGTAGGTTGCCGATGAAGAATGGGGAGAAAATGAAAATGTGAAAAAGAAAATGGCGGCTGTTTTTCATACAGTTATGATCGTGTAGATGGAGCAGGTAGGCTTCGATTCTCGTCCCCAGAGGCCGCGCTCCTTTTGGTCAGCCCCAAGAATCACGACCTCAGCACAGGTCCAGTGAGATTCCGGTTCTGATTGGCTTTGCAAACACAATAGAATGAGACCAGAACCAATCAGATTTGTCAGATTTGACTTTGAGCATGCGCAGAGAGACAGGAAGTCCGTGGATCACGAACTTCCGGTGTTGGAACCGGCCAGAGGTCGCGATTTTTCGTGCTGACCAAAAAGGAGCGCGGCCTCTGGGGACGAGAATGGTAGGCTTCTTGTATCTCTTTGCCCCATAAAAGTAACTTTGGTTGATTATTTAGGGTGGTCCGTGGGGCAGTCTGAAGGGTAGTCCGCGGAGTGGGGGTCAGTCTTTTTAAGACTCTCCCGAGTTACAATATGGGCTCTGGGTACGAGAATGTGGAATGTTTATATTCCGGGACATTCCCCTGACGTACTATGTTGAAAGCCAGGCAATAATATATTCCTTGAGAAGACAGAGCTTTACATCGAGTGCCAACACTTCATCACTCCGCTTCAATCCTGATCATGAATTCTGTTCCACTAATCGATATTTCGCCTCTGTGCAAAAGTAAGTTGATTTCATGTTTCTTTGATTTAATTAAGTAATGGAAAGCCCGTAGATTCTCGGCGTTTCTCTTTTAGTATAATGGGTCTGTACCTATAACATTTTGGTCGAGTACTTCCGAAATTGTCTTAAAACGTTTATGAACCAAGTCGAAGATGAATTAATTTTAGGAAGGGATAAGATTTTCGTTGTTTACAACTTTTCAACTTTTCATTCTAGCAGTTAGACACGCTTACGAACTTCAAGTCCAAGCATTTCGTGTCTTCCAAATGCAACACAGAAAACGAAAGTTTCAATGTGCTGAGCGCAGCATTTAGGAGACTCTCGCGATGTTATAGATTTGTCTGGGCACATATGGCTTCCTTCAAGATTTAAGTTGTCGCATTGGTCTTCAGGCATTTAGAAGTAAAAGCCTGAAAAGAGTCAATGGATAGTAACGCTCCTGGTAATGGATCTGTTAGAGGAGAAATAAATAGTTATTTCTTCGTTTTCCCACCCTTCCCAGTATTGAAATCCCCCAATTATTTCCGACAATTAAAATAGTTAATCATTTCAGTGTTGTATCTCAAACTATTGATATTAAAATGCTCTTTAGAAGGCATTATACATCGGAGAATGTCTCAATACTTAACACGAATTTAAAAACAAAAAAAGTACTCAACTATTTTGCTACTATCATACTATTAAAAGGCCAAGTTCCTTTCCTCGGAAATTACTTGAAAAATGTTTGTAATTTATTGTCTCTGTCCCAGCATGAAGCCCGAAAAGGCTTTTCCTGGAAGCTGTAATAAGTTTTCCCTGAAACTCGTCCCTTAACTTCCGGTTATTTATGTTCGACCTCACTTCCGTTCTTCACAACTGCCCGCGCCGAAAGATCTGGAAACGAAATCGCTGGCAGAGATGAATGAAAAAACTAGCACTTCCGGTGAGAAACCAAATGAAGCTGGTCTTTCCACCGGAAAGTATTCGGAAAAACTGGAATACCTTCAGAGTAATCCTCTTTTCTCATGCAATATCCAGTATTGCTACCACAATAAAGCTCCTGGCATCCCTGTTTGTACCACACTGCCATAGTATATTAACTAACATATTCACGTAGTAAGCTATGGGAAAAGACTGTGGCCAAGGCATTGAGCCACTGGGAGCGAAAGCACAAAAGCTGTGTCGCGTCACCGAGGGGAGGTGGGAGGGTCGAAAATTCGATCAGACATTTTCAGTATAGAATGCAATCAGGGCAAGAGGATAGATTAAATAAGAAGACATTGCAGGTGACAATTCCTTCTTTCAATGAATAATTAGAATTAAATAATAGTTATGTAACCTACGCAATCAAGAACTTCGCGGCATAAACATGAATGAAAATATTAAAGTGAAGCATCGTGGTGTCAAGGACACATTGATAGAACTCGCTTACTCGGCTCTCGTTTACAAGTGGTGAAGGAGGGGCTTCGAATTTTACTGGACAGGGGTTGAAGCTAAGTGTGTTGGGTGGAGAATAAAAGATCAGTGCACAAGGTATAAATAGGATTAGCGTTGTTTACATGTGCAAACACGAGAGCTGTTCGCCTGGATTTAGTTCCTGCACTAGATGCAGTCCTTTATTAGACGTCTACCGCAGAGTTTTTTTTACCAGAGGAGTAGTAAATCAGCTGTTTGTCTCGGACAGAGAGAAGCCGTTCAAAAGCCAAGATGTTAAACAGTTTGCTCTGAACGTGGGCGATGCCTGGAAGGTCAAGCTGCCACAATACCAAGGAGGAGAAGATTTTTTGAATAGGGTGGTTCGTTGCACCAAGGGCAGCTTGAAGAAAATCCCTGTTGTGGCCAAAACTGACTCATGAAGGACTAGTAAGTCTTCACTCAAGTTGGAAGTGTTGTAACACTCGACCGCTCACTTACGTTTACGGTGACGAAATACAATTTGATGATCGGAAGAAAAGGTTGTTGTCCAGCGACCACAACCTGAAGCTCATTGACAAACAGTTACTGCGAGTGACGTCGACGGAAGGGGATATCATAACCTCAAGTTACTCTTGTCCCACTTCTCATGGAATAAATGGCAAATAGACTACCACACTAATTTTCGTCAATTTCAAATCTGATGGAGATATGGTCGTTGTGGAGGAAAATTCACCCAGAAGTACTGGGAAGTTAGATCGTGCTGATGAAGGGACGAGATGGCAAGACGAGGAGGCAACCTCAAGAAATTGCTGCCCTTGAAGAAAGAAAGAATAGAAATTGCGACTGCTGTTGCTAGTCCCGCCCCTGATTACGGACCTACTGGGGAAGGCTCTTCAAAGAGCACGAGAACCCAGAGGACAACCTGCAATCACGAGGAGTTATCGTATAAAGAGAAAAGTTTTACGCTGGCTCGTTCACGTTGTCGAAGATTCTACATTGGTCCTTTGATCGCGTGCCGATGTGAGATATGACCTGGATCTTGTGATGATCAAGTCACGCGGATTAGAGTCTTATGGCTTTGAGAGTATAAACATTGTGGAATTAAAGAGAGTTGAAATGTGCGTTTTCGCTTTCTTTCACAAAGGTACTTTCCCTTCTTTAATTCAATATTCCCCGACAAAGCAGTATTCATCAACCATCATTCTCGCTTCAACCTCCGATCACACGGCATAAATTTTGTACCTGTAATAGGCATTTTTCCCCTGTAGAATGGTGCTTTCGTTTTAGTTTATAAAGTTAAGTGATTAGCACTGTTACATCCCTGAACTCATCTTAATATACAAGCGGTAAAGGGTTTGTATGAAGGAAATTTTGGTCAAGTTCTCATTTGTTAGCATTTTGAAGTAAATGGACCAAGGCGAAGGAAAGGTATGTAGTGAGGGGATAAGGTTTTCCTTTTAGATTGATATAGTAATCAAGTACAGAAAAAAGTAAAACGGAGTTAATGTTAGCTTATGTCGTGTTATTGCGTGCAAACACTGCTGACTAGTCTCGTTGTTTGGGATACTGAATTCTCTCCAGTCATAAAATCCAGAATATACGTTTTTCGTGTTTAGAATGTTATCACTGATCCTGATGTCTCCAGCTTTTCTTAGATAGAAGGAAGCGACAGTTAGTCTTACCAAAAACTTGTAAGTGTTGTTTATGCATTAAATACTAATTAATCACAACCTAGAAATATCAATTCTTTTGATAAAATGCTGTCATGACAAAGTCCTTTCATCCTGGTCTCTGCTAATCTCTTTCTTTTCTTTCACAGGAGGCAGCTTGGCTGACCAGCAAGCTATAGATCAGGTCTATCAGCAGATTCACCAAGCTTGCAAAGACATTGGATTCTTCTATATAACTGGTCATGGAGTGGAACAATCGACCCTGGACTTGCTTTTCAGTTATGCACGGAAGTTTTTTTCTCTTCCAGTGGAAAAGAAAACTGCTATCAGCATTGTTAAATGCCCATCCTACAATGGATATGTTAAATCAGGTACCTACAATTAAATATTCCTAGGAAAAGTGTATGCCAACTATAAAGGACCAACATGGTGTGGATTTTTAAACATTTTACTGAAAATAATTCAGCAGTAATGATTTTATTAAATAAAACGCTGCTTTCATACTACTAGTGAAAATCAGTAAAGGAGTCTATTCAACCACAGTGTTTCTCTCCTGCTAAGCTTTGAATCCATGATATGGTGATCAAGTAACATGGAAAAGAATTAGCAGTGACCCCAACCCCCTAATATTTAGGAGCCAGTATACACTTGGGCCAAAGCAGATCATGGCACAGGCAATGGAAGTCTTTTATAAAGTGTCTTGCCTGAGATTGCAACCAAAGGAGAAAAGCTGGGCCCTCTGATTTCAAAACTATTGCACTTGTGGGGGTGCAACATAAATATGAATAACAGTGACAATATTTAGCCAAGTCTTAAAGCGGAGCCATTTTTACCATGAGAAAAGTGATTCACAGGTTTCTATGAGTGTGGGACTCCACTTAGCAGCCCTTTGGGCTGCTGGAGCTTTGCTATAAAAAATTACGATTGTTGTCAAACTAATACAGGAAACAAAATGCAGCTGGTTTCTATTAATTTTACACGTAACTCAGGCTGGTAAGATTCCTGTTCAGTGAACAACTTCTAAAGTCAGATACTATGACCCGAGTTATTGTATCAGTAAGAGCATGTAGGGCTGAGTCCGATAAAACTGATCAATACTTCTTTTGTTAAAGGTTCTGAGAAGACCCAAAATGTTGTAGACATCAGAGAAGGTGTTTATTTGGGCGCAAATGTGAAGCATTTACACGAGGAAGATGCCATGGTCACATGCGATAATTTTCCACAAGAAAATGAGTTACCAGGTTTTGCCAAAACTGTAGAAACCTATAAAGCTCATCTAACAAATTTAGGGTAAGAACTAAATAAAACTAAAAAATCAAAATGTAGATAGGTTATCATAATAAAATTTATTAGGTAGATGTGGCATGATGAATATAATAATATGATGCAGGGCTTTTATCCCGACAAGCACCAATTGTTATTTTTCATAAAAACTAAACAGAGAGCCAGTGCTTTTTAAAAAAATAGGAATAAAATCAATTTCGCATTAAGTGAGTGCAATTTGTAATGCCCAGTTATGATTTTCTTTGTACTCGCCATCTGTTTCATGACAAAATGCATGGTTTCTTTTTGTTTATCAACAGATTTGCAATGACAAAAGCTTTGGCTGTTGGATTAGGGCTCCCAGAGAGCTATTTTGCTGACAAGTGTTCCCCACCTATGACTATTCTTGCCTTCTGGCACTATCCCCCCTACCCAGCTGACATTGACTCTTGGGGGGTGGGACCTCATACAGATTATGGTATGTGGACCTTATTACTGCAAGATGATATTGGTGGTTTGGAAGTGGAAATGACAGAGGGACAATGGGTTGAAGTGAAACCAATACCAGGTATTACTTACATTAATTGTGTCAGTTGCTCCTGTCAACTCATTTCTTTCAAAGAATCCAAGATAAGATTTCCTTTTGTACAATTTCCAGATAAGAGATTATCTGGAAAAAAAAGAAAAACAAACTCCCTACTGGAGTAGAATAACATCTCTAAGAAAACAGTACTTGAACATCAACATGCAATGTAACATATAACCAAAGGGCCTTCAGTAAGAACAAAATTGTAAAAATTAAAAACCTGCACTGCATTCTGGAAGACACAAAGATTACCAAAACAACCAAAAACAAAATGAATATCTAAGAATCTAGTAGGAAAAGTACATGTTATACAATGCAAGTGAGCCAATGACGCATCCCATGAGACTAATAAGCCTTTCCCTTTCCCTGGCAACCAGACATTAACTATGCCTTTCTTACTAACAGGCACATTAGTTGTTAACCTGGGAGACTGTCTTCAGGCCTGGACCAAAGGTCTCTATCGAGCCACAAGACATCGTGTAAGACGTTCAATCAAGGCAGATCGATATTCAGTGCCATTTTTCTTTAACCCAAACCGAGGATGCATTATTGAGCCTGTTGAGACTAATGTCACAAGAAATCTGAGTTTCACCAAAGTTGTAAAGGGACAGGAGTTGCCCTTCACTTTTGGCGATTTTAGTAAAAAACTGTTAGAGAAGAGTCATGACTGGAACAAAGGACATAATAACACAGACTAAAGTCTTGAAACACATTTACTTTAATTTGAAAACTTTACAGAGCACAAAGAATGTCATGTTAAATAATCAAAGGCAAGTGGATCTTGAAGTCAGACTTGTGGATTCTATCCTTTGCTTGCCTGATGGGTAAGTGAAGGTTAATTACAGAAGTACTGTAAGCAATTAAAACATTTATATATTGAATTAATATTAATCATGCTAGTATGAATTTTTGGGAAGCTGTTAAGAATGACTTTTAGGCTAGCACATCATGTTGTACCGTCCTATGTTACTTCTTTGTTAACATTGCAAAGGTAGATACTTGTTTCAGAAAACCCTGTACCTCTATTCTTGTGGTTGTATTGTTTCTAGAACAAAGCAATTTGCATGTACAGAAGATTTGTCTATATTAGTATCAACTATATGCTAGAAGAAAGATACATCACTTACAGGATCACACAAATGTGTGCTTAAAGGTGGAGTGATACTGTACCTATGTTGTTAGTAGCTTTTTATATTTTGGGAGACCTCACTTCTCCCTTTTCTTGGTTCCAAGTTAAGTGTATCTTTTGGAATTACTCATAGCTTGTTTGAGGAAATGTTATCTGCTGTTTTCAGGCTACAATAGTGTGTTAACTATGACTCAAATAAAGAGTACAGTAGCTCTAAATTTATTGCCATTCTGTGGTGCCTCTGTGGCCATGTTTTTCATGGTTTCAAAAAGAAAAGAAATAAGTCAAGCCACTTGGCAAGGTTTTAAACTTGAGCATAAATGGTTAGTACAGTGGAACCCCGCCTTACGATCACCCTGTTAATACGACCACCTTGTTATTACAGCCACTTTATTCTGGCCCAAAAAAAAAGCACAGTCAGTCATTTTCTTATTTAAAGAACCCCTTTAATACGACCACCCCGTTAATGCGACCAATTTTTTATGGCCTAAAGGTGGTCGTATTAACGGGGTTCCACTGTACACTAAAACTAAATTAGACAAAACCATTAATTAATGTTTGACTAAAGAGGCTGAGACGAGGCCAATAACAATAGAAAAACTAAAACCATAAATCTTAGAAGTGGCTGTGGTTGCTCATAAGAGGTCATACAGTTTACAGGAGGCTCTCACCTTATAATGATTTGACTGGGATATGTTTGCTATTTTAAGGCAAAGGTTGGTTATGGGAGATGGTAATGCAGGGAAATTTGGCGACACTACCTACTGCACTTTTGTGTTCACTGTTATACAGTTCTATGCAATCCTTCTAATTTGCATTGTTCAAAGTACAACTAGCTAATCCAGAATTAGTACAAACTTTGATTTAAGTAAGGATTTCTTGTATATATTTTATTTGTCCTTCACTTTCAACTTTTATTAATCTCAAACTGCAAAAAAACAGAGCAGTGAAAACATTTTTATATGGGCATTGTGAATACCTTGATTAACTTTAAATCCTAGCTTAGAATCAGTTAGCCTTCAGAAAACTGTACCCTATATTCCCAACATCCCCACATTCTTGTGGTTGATCCTAGAAGACCCCAGGGATGCATAATGGTTAGAATCTATCAAATAATCAAGCTTTAAAAAATGTACCTTAGCAACAAAAAATAGGCCATTTTTACCAACGTACAAAGCAAACAATAATAAATATGGTAATAATAATAATAATTATTAAAACTACCATTGACGTAAAAATAAATCATCATCATCATCATCGTCGTCGTAATATTACCTTTATACTAATGAAGTGTCAGATTAAAATACGGTAGCAGTTTCCCACTAAGGACACCAAAATAAAAGCAATTTAAAAAATAAAATTTTGGTATAGCTAACTACATAGTATTACGTTTAAGCTAAGGTTATAAGGGTGACAGCTGAAAATCAGGAGCAACTTCAGAATACCCGGCCACTTTACTTACATGTGTCGGTGGGCTTTGAAGAACGAGGTATATAACAATAGTTGCTATTCTTATTCAATGAGATGCTAATAAGTGGCCGGGTATTCTGGAGTTTAGCCGAAAATCACAACCATGTGGAAATTCTGGACGTGGGAATATATGTTACTGGCGTATTCTTTGTAGGACCAAGAACGCTCTAAGAATTAAGTTGAAAATATGGCAAACATGTACGTTATATCCATTCTAAAAGTATTATAATACTAAAATACCTAAGTGTTAAAAGAGGAAGAAAGAATTGTTTAAACGTCTTGAGTCAGTTTTTAATAAGCACAGTCTAAACCATGAATCGCGCGAATAAGACGAATTTTGCACCAAACACAAAGGACTCAATTTTGTACCTCGTGAAGCCCTTGTTACGTTATTTAACCTCTCAACAGTTGTTCATCGACCATGTTTATGTCAAGTTAAAGAGACAGATATAATTGTTCCTCACCGAGCGTTGCAGAAAGGACAAACACCAGCCATTTTCACAAAACATTGCCACACAACTCGTTTCTAGAAATGTTGCAACCAGACAAGCGAGCTTGACTTTCGCTCGGATCGAAGGGAACCAATCAGAGACCAGTAGTGTGAACGTTAAACCAATCAGTGACCATAACAATTGACCAATGAAACGTGCGCAATCTGCATATATATCGTTCAATCACATATGATTGACGCCATTAATAGGTTTGAACCGCGGTAAAGAGGAGAAAAGTTGAGGATTGTGGCAACAGAAAATGGCTCGTACGAAACAAACTGCCCGTAAATCAACCGGAGGAAAGGCTCCAAGGAAACAGCTAGCGACCAAAGCCGCCCGTAAGAGCGCTCCATCAACCGGTGGCGTCAAAAAGCCTCATCGTTATAGGCCGGGAACTGTCGCTCTTCGTGAGATTCGTCGTTACCAGAAGTCGACTGAATTGTTGATCAGAAAGCTTCCATTTCAGCGTCTTGTAAGAGAAATTGCCCAGGACTTCAAAACTGATCTTCGATTCCAAAGTGCTGCTATTGGCGCCCTACAAGAAGCCGCAGAAGCTTACTTGGTTGGTTTATTCGAAGACACAAACTTGTGCGCTATCCACGCGAAGCGTGTGACCATCATGCCAAAAGATATCCAACTCGCCCGCCGTATCAGGGGAGAACGTGCTTAAAAATAACTTGTATCATCGCCTGTATATATGAAAACTTTTATGGAACTTATCACTCGAGTAAGAAACTGAACTTTACTGCGATACATGCGCTAGTCGTCAGTAACGGCGTTACTATTCAATTTCATGTCATTCAAAACTGAACTATTTTCGTTTGAATTTTTCTCTAAATCTTGTTCATTTTTTAGCAGTTCTGTGTAACTCTAATAACAGTCTGTATTCCGATTTTCAACTGTATCTAGGCTCTTTTAAGTTTTATTTCAACACGTTGTTTTATGTTGTCGGTACTTAATATTTTGGCGCAATTGTGACGAGCGAGAACAACAAGTCTTTTGTTTCCCGAGGGTAGAGAATTCGAATGTCAATGCCCGTAAATGCGTTGTAATTTGACTTCTTCAAAGGTCCTTAGTCAATCTTCTGGCAATTTTGTACCAGAAGACACTCCTCAAGGGAAAAGACGTAGTCTGTAGTATAAGTACTGTCTGTAAGATATCCATTTTTAGCCTAACCCGTATTTAAGAGGCAATAAAGCTGTTTTCTCGTACGTAATTGTGGTTGTGTTCATTCTACATTTGTATCAGTGAAGTTTAGGATGCAGAGGGAGATTCACCACGTAGGAACTTAGAATTTGCGTGGTAAAACTTCCATGACCATGTGTAAACGAGCGTAAAGTGTTGATTTTATGCAAACGAAGTTATCTGAAACTGAAAGTTATCGAGAGAGTGTACTTTGAGAAATAAACGTCCGAGCGTTGGTTTGCGTGTTTGTTTCGCCCGGCTTCTACAATCTTGGGCATCTCGCTAACCTGGGTGCGAATTTTTCCCTCTGTAAATAAACTGTGTTGTGAAATGAACAGTTCTGGGCCTCATTAAAGCAAAGCAAGAAGAGTTATGCTATAGAGGTGAAATAAAGCAGCAGAAACCGCTTTTCGAGCCAGTTGGATCAGCGTTGTAGAGAAAAAAACTCTTTCGGAAAGTTCCCGAAAGTCTCAATTCCCATTTTCGTAATATTTCGTCACTCATTCGGAATTCGTCGGATTCTCGGTACCAGTACTTTACATGCAATACTCAGAAACAAACATGGCGTCCACGAGATTGTGCAGGCTTTGGTATCGAAACTCAAGCTCTGTTATAAATAATACTACCAAGGGATTGAGAAAGGCAGGAAGTTATTCCACGCAGAGACCAACCTGCGTAAGAACTGTTTGATGTCTATGTTACAGACTTAAAGAGCCACATAAAAAAGTATGATTTCACTGTTCTTGCAGGTTGCAGGTGAATTGAGATTTAGACGTTCATACTCTACAGAGGTAGGCTTACACGTAAGGAAAAGTAACGCCCGTTTGGAATTTTTACCTTAGCCTTTGTGATATCTGATAATTCATTTGTGACTAGGTTTAGTCTTTATCAACAATCCTTTCGTCAATTGTTAACTTACAAACTTAAGGCACAGTATTTTGTCAAAGGCATATTGCAGCATGTAACAATAAATGGAGTTGTTAATGGACTCTTAATGATGACAGGGCTCAGAGAATCATGGCTTTCAATTGTTGCACTGTAGATGTACATTTATTGTAATACTATTTTTGGCTTCATTGCACAATTTTGTGTCGCTATAAGAGCCATATTTGCTAGGGATTCTGACCACCATCCAATGTTCACAGAGAACATGTAAGCTTATATCAGTTGATATACGCCGGTTATATTACTTGGACAAATTGAAAGGACATCATATTGCATTTGACAATTTGCTTAAGGGTGCTTATAAATTTCAAGCACCATTGAGTGGGTAATTATGAGTCTCCTTTCACTGTAAATCCATTTCCTGACAGAAGACTCTTCTTACCATGAACTTTAGATAGTGTGATTGAAAACATAATGTAAAACTCTTCATGTTGAACATGGTTTTCTCTGGAGGTGCCAGTATAAGAACATGTATTGATTATTTAGATTTTGCAATCTATGTGTTTGGTCTTGCTTTATTTCAATGTTTACAGGGACTCTCATGCTTGCACTTTATGCTTGCATTTTAATGGAAACCAGAATGAAGGCATTATTAATAATATGTAAAAGGTCTAAATTAATAGTTGTTTTATTGGTACTGTATTAAGTTATTGAAGTCATTTCTGTACAGATACGAATTTTCACATGCTTCTATCAAGACTAGTAATTTATGATTTTCATCCTTCTATTTTTTAATTCCCCTTACTTTCTTTCGCTACATTATACTTTAGTATACTATTAACATTATTTCCGACTAAAACTAGACCAGGAAAGTAACACTTATCCCTGGAGATGGAATAGGACCAGAAATTTCAGATGCTGTCAAAACTGTATTTGCTGCTGCAAAGGTATTATTGCTGTTCATGTACATGAGTCTTGAATGTTTAACCACGGTAATACACAATTTTCACGGCTGCTTTTGAAGTAGTCATAAGCTCAAGCTACAATCAGGAACAAAAGTAGCTGTTCACTGCCTGAAAACATACGTTGTGCCTTTAAATGTAGTTTGACTTGTCTGCACTCCACATATCTCACCCCCTCTCCCTTTAACAATGCTGTAAACTCATAATAGCATTAACCAAGCCTGTTTCAGCATTGATTGGGCAGTGGGTGGATGGTGGTTATCGACCAAAAAAGGATTTTTTTCTATTGGGGGAAGAACATCTCTCTGTCTGAAAACATCCCTTTTGCAAAAGTGTTTCAATGCTTTTGTCCCTGATTGCAGCCTATGTCTAACAGTGGCAGTAAATTAAAAAGAATAAATCTCTACTAGAGTATAAAAATTAATATTTAATGGACATCAATTAAAGAATAAAAGTAATATTAATGAATAAAGCAGTCTTAAATGAATACAAAGAAGGGAAGATCCTTATTTCAAAGGGTAATTTTTCTGCGGTTACTTTCAAACCAATAGCAAGTTTTACTAATGATAAGAAAAGACAAACAAACAAACATTTCTGCTGCATGAATGTAGCAACTTAACTACTAGTATTCAAAGACCTCTGGAAGCCATTTGAATATTTCCAATTAATTTCTGGAGGACATGAATATTTCAAAAGTGGAATGTTGATGTCTAATTTTCTTTCAGGTTCCCATTGAATGGGAAGAGGTTACAGTGACACCTATTGTCCTCCCTGATGGTAAGACCACAATCCCAGCAGCAGCAAAAAACTCTATGATGAAGAACAAGACTGGTCTCAAAGGTAGGTTAAACTTTTTTTCAAATGGTAAAAATGCAAGAATAAATAGTTGACCTTAATCTTACTGGTTAACAGCATAACATATTATGACAAAATATGGTAGATTGTATGTGATCAGCACTTACCAGGCCTTGTGTAGCATATCCCAGTCTTGAGATACTTCCTGTTTTTCACATGTCAAGCAGGAAAACATTGTAATCCTGACTATCCCATCACCAAGGTGTGGCATGAAAAACATATGCATTCCATTGCATTAGTGCACCTAATTTTGCATCATTTTTTGGGTAGCAAGGGGGGAGCTCCATTTGATAGTATTCATGATGAACTTTCAATATTGCTAAGTCTTTTTACACATCTGTAAAAATACTATTGATATTGATTCAGATTGTCAAAATAATCATTGGTATTGTACACACTGCAAATGCAATGTTCCTTTGATCTGGGATGGTGTATTTTCTAAGGCAAAACAGAGTAACTTTTGATTAAAAAATTACTTTGCCATAGGGATTAACAATGAAACATGCTTGAATTTGTTACAGGGCCACTGGAAACAAAGATTGGTAAAGGACATGTGTCTATGAATCTGACTCTGAGGAGGTTTGTAACCAATAAATTGTAATTGAGCTAAAGGTTTCAAGTTAAGGGTTCATTTACTGAGTTCACAATTTGAGAGTAACATTCAGGCCCTAAAAGGAATCTCACCTGGGTAATGAATTTGTTTATTCTGGAAATCTGGAAAAAGTATGGAATTTTCCTCACTAGCTTTCCAGATCATAATAGTTTGGATTTTCGAAACATATTTATTATCTATGTCAGCTGCCTTACATCTTCTGTTATAAAGTAGGACTTTGCAACCATTTTATCAATTACGTCCTGAATTTGTGTCTTAAGCAGCTCTGTAATGAATGAACTGATTAATAGGCTTGATTGGTTATATTGATAGATAGTTAATCAGTTGATTTACCCACAGGGTTTTCAGCTTGTATGCCAATGTGCGACCTTGTCGATCCATAGAGGGCTATCCTACGGTGTATAATGATGTTAATCTAGTGACTATCAGAGAAAACACAGAGGGAGAATACAGTGGCATAGAGCACGTAGTAAGTTGACAGTACTAAATGTACCTAAATGTTGTAACAGTACTTGTCATCAGCTCTCTAAAGCAGGGGTTTCAATAATAGCCGGGTAGTGGGTAGATCTACCCGCTTGCAATGAGTGGACTACCCACTTGTAGCTGTCCCAGGTGGCCGTACACAAATAACTAAGACCAGATAACTTCCTCGCGGCTAAGGATTCTCTTCAAGAAATTTGGTAAAATAAGTCTTATGATAATAGGTAAAGAAAAAGAAAGGTACAAGAAAAAACTTTCTAGTGTTAACCCAGCCTTTTGGACCACGAAAGATGAAGGAAAGTGTAACCTTACGTATGAGAACAATTGCTTCAATACGAAGTGAAAAAACTGTGCCAGGCATTCAGCTGAAATCTAGAGGAAACTGGGACTAAGTATGAATAATAATGGCTGCCAAAAGGCAATCATTATTAGCATATTTCACACCAGTGTCAAAACAAAAGAGGTCAAAGAAGAATGATTCTTCGCAAGGTTAGTTCAGTATATTGAAAGGGACACATTTTGGTGTTTAATCTTTAATATTATGCTTCTTTTTGTGGTGAAATGTGATTTATTGTTCATGAATTGATTTGAATACAAAGAATTAAAATACCACATGTTATCAACCTTGTCTTTCCAATTGATTGACTTCTAGGAACAACAAAGCAACATAAAAATAGGCCTCAAAATGCAGGAAAATGCATCTGCGAGAGTCTAGAGTTTCAAAATTTCCTAGGGGAACATGCCCCCGGACCCCCCTAGTTGGGAAGTTCCTCTGCCTGTTTTTCTAAACTATCCTCTTGTGCCACAAATTATTGAAACCTCTGCTAAAGGCATTTTCAATCACAAGTAATAACTATACTGAGTTTTATTTTCATCAAGCTCAATGAGAATAGCTTTTCTTTTTCACTTACTTAGAGGGTAGTCAAAATACAAGACCTAATAGTCAAATTATATGAATTTTTACTAATTAGTCTGTGAGTAGTTGGATCCAGCAAATGGCAACATTGTAAGGGCTCAGATGCCTGAATCCTTGAAGAACAAGTTCATTATTTACAAATATTATGACTCTTATAATTATCTACATTGAAAAGAAATATGGTGTGCCTGTCCAGCAACTGCCTTTTATAACTGGCTACAAGACTGAAATTGAATAGCAACTCAAAATTTGAAAATGATCAAAAGACAACACCTGGGGAGGCCGTCTTGAAATACCTTCAGTTGGTACATGATAATTGAGGCTGTAAGCTTTCTTAAAGTTATAAAAATTATCCCAAACACTTGTTGAAAATTATTTGGTTAGATTGGTTACTTAGAATTTTTACATCCCTGTAAACATCAATAAAATTATTTTGGAGAAATGGTATTTTACAACCAATGAACAGTAAGTTGTGATGGGTCCAACTGTGAGATCACAGCAAGCTCACTGAACATATTATAAAGGCTTCAGGTTACTTGAAAAATTTTCTGTAATCCTTTTTATATATATATATTTTTTTCATTAAAGAGGGGACATGTATGTGTGTTAACCCAATGCAAATATGAGTTGACTTCTTAACATTTGCATTTGTCCATCTGTTGATCCAAACAAACTTTTACATCATATCAAATGAATGAGCTGGAAGATCTGATGTCGCTCTGAGAAGGAAACAAAGGTGTCTGTATGTGAACTTCTTGATTATTTCCAGGCCTTTACAAGTTGTTTGTTTTCACAGGTTGTTGATGGTGTGGTACAGAGTATTAAGCTGATCACAAGGGAAGCCTCTCAAAGAGTTGCAGACTTTGCATTCCAGTATGCCAAGGCAAATAACAGACACACCGTGACTGCTGTACATAAAGCCAATATCATGTAAGTAGGAGACAACGACGAAATTGATGCAAACATGAAGGCAGATTTAGTGCCACTATTAGCACTGTTTACCAAAGTTGAGCTCTTTTACTCCTGCAAGACTGAAGTAAACCACCTTACAAGATGCTGGAGTTAAGATACAAATCCATTTTCTACGTCAGAATAATAAAATAACATTAAGTAAACCTACCTTTCATTCAGATACATGCAGTAGGCCTTTTGCATCCTACTTATTAAGGGCTAACAATATATACTTCATAGTGCATTGAACAAGATGAATATTAGAAAAATATTTGCTAATACTATACTGTCAGACAAAAAATGCTGACATTTTAATGTCACTACTGCTGAAACATTTGTGTTCATTAATGAATCTGGGTGCTAACACAGAATGCTTGACAGTATTCCAAAGACTGGATCATTTAACATTGTTGAAATTTCACAGCAAAAATAATAAAAAGTTTTAGATGTGGTAAAGAGCACATTCATTTCAATGTCCTATTCATTGTACTTTATCAATGATGATCTAAGAACTTCAAGTTGATTCACTTCTTTCACTCGATTTTCAGGCGACGTTCTGATGGTCTTTTCCTGGAATGCTGTCGAAAGGCTGCTGAGAAGAATAAAGATATCAGATACAATGAGATGTATCTGGATACTACTTGTCTTAATGTGAGTTTTAACACATGCAGTAATTGCTGCTATCTGGATGCCCAGCATTGAGATGCTCGTATTTGACCTTTGCAAGTATTTCAGTCAGTTGCCATGGAACTATATGTCTGGAATTTATGGAAAATGGAAGGGCACATGTAAAAATTCCAAGGAATGTCAATCTTTTATTTTTTTGTTTCTCACTTGTATATTTAGATGCTCTAGGCACTGTGATTGGTCAATGTCTTCTTGTCTCTGCAATTTCAGATTGTCAAAGATCCTTCCAGTTTTGATGTCATGGTGATGCCAAACTTATATGGAGATATTTTGAGGTGGGACATTGGACTTTAATTACCTATGTTTTAAATTATGCCATCTAATAATAGGTCTACATCAATTTTTATTTGTCATTAGTGAAAAAACAGTTTGGTTCAGATAGTTTTACTTTCTTGTAAATGTCATCATATTTAAGATCAGACTGGTCGTTGTTTAGGAAGTGAATGAATCCAGGAGTGTCAGTGATTTAACAAATTGACATCAGTTTTTCATGCGTCTGTCCTGATAGTGACCATAAATTTCATCATAACATTGTCAAAGTAACTGTGGATCCACAAGGCAATAGATGAATGGATCCGCAGACTACTTTGGCATTGCTATGACGAAATTCAGTCAGTAACAGGACATACGCATGAAAAACTGATGACAATTTTTTTTTTTACAGTTATATCAAATTGTCAAATTGACCGCTCTTGCTCGTTGTGTGAACATCGCATAAATTATAGATTTATGTGTCTGTCCTCTTATTGACAATGAAATTTAGCCAATGAGTGCACAAGAGTTTCTGCAATGATTATTGTTGTAAAATAGTGGGATTGTTTAGCTGATGATACCCCTGGAAAGGACTGTTGCTAGTCAGTGACGTTAAAACAACCACAGAAGTCATCACACTCAAGTTCTGCACCTCTTATGCCATCATAGTCTGTGGTTAACTAATTAAAGGTGATGTTTTTCTCATTTTGCAGTGATTTGTGTGCTGGATTGATCGGTGGATTGGGTGTCACACCGAGTGGAAACATCGGAGCTGATGGAGTTGCCATATTTGAATCAGTAAGTGCAGTTCGCTAGATAGGACCTGTAGTGGGGTGTAGTTGGGCTGCATTGTAGGGAAATTTTTAATCCATAATCCATATTCCGGGCTAGGGAATCCTCTGAATCCCCTGCCTCGGCCAAGTGAGAATGAACAGTTATTTGTCTGACAGGGAAATCTGCTTGTTCCAGACGACTGGATGGCACGTTTTTCAACTCCTGAACTACCATACTTAACATGACACTGTACTGGTGAAACAAACCGACGTGGTACAAAACTTGGACTTGGTAATATGAGTACGAAACGTCTGAATTGACCGGCTGTAAATCGTCCAAGTTGGGTTCCAATCCTCTGGGTACGAACCTTTTATGGGTACGACACCACACGTACGGAAAGTGTTCAAAGTATTCACGTTTCCTAGCATAAGGGAACTCCCATGAATAGCACCAGTCAGGTTACCCCAGTAGTATTTTATATGGTTGCCCTAAGAATTTGCCCATACCCATTTTTACACTAATCAGAAAGGCTAATCATTAAGGTGGGTTGTCAGTCTAGGACTATTTAACATAGGGTCGCTACGTTGGTAATTGATTCTCTTACAGTGAATAGTTGGTTCAAGTGATTAAAAGCATGTCAGATGTGGATGTAAGTTATGTTGTTGCTTCCTGCAGGTACACGGCACAGCTCCTGATATCGCAGGTCAGGACAAAGCTAACCCCACAGCACTCCTGCTAAGTGCTGTAATGATGCTGCGGCATATGGAGCTGCATTCACATGCAAAGGATGTAGAGACGGCAGTGCTTGAAACCATCGAAGAAGGAAAGGTAAGCTTCCTTTAACCCTTAATGCCTAAAAACGATCAGTAAGGGATTTCTCGGTACAATACAGGGCTTAGAAAATAGCGAATTTGGCCACCCACTTAATAGCCTGCATGGCCAGCGTTCACAGGGGAGGGAGAGGGGGAAACTAGAAGTTCCAAGCGCGACTGGGGGGGAGGAGGAGGAAGGAGGGAAGAGGCTTGCTGGCGTTCACGTCCCTTCCCTCCTTCCTCTTCCAGATCGTGCTTCGCGCTTCTAGTTCCCCNCCCCCCCCCCTTTGCATGGCGGCCACATAGGCTACCCAGTTAACTATCCCGACGGGCTAGTGCGTAATTACTAGTAGTACGTTCTAACGTGATTTTTAAAACTGTCGACCAACTTTTGCTTAAAGATAAACAGCACGAATTTGTTGTACTTTGTAACAAAACTTAAACGTAAAGTCCGAAATCTTGATCTATAGTGGCGATAGGGATAGAAAAAAATTAGACTCGATCGTCCGTATTTTATATAAACTAAATGTGTCAGGTGCACTAAAAAAGACTGGAGAGAGTTCACTAGTTGTTGTGCTCTGTTACAAAACTTCTGGTCTTGGGACTCAGCGAAATTACATTTGGTATCTTAACAGGTGTTGACAGGGGATTTGGGTGGCCAAAGTACATGCTCAGAGTTTACCAAGGAAATCTGCCGCCATCTTGAGTAGCTAACCTCTTTAATTTAAGTCTTCCAGCTGGTTTGGAGTTATATTCCGACACTTGTAATTTCGTTTCTGCTATCCTACTAGTAAACGCTCAAGTAATTTGGTTTATTATATGTTGGTACTACTGTATTTTCTCCAACAGTATTGAAGGTAATTTTTAGTATCTTGAAGAAAGTAATTGCTTCAGACATGCTATAACTCAGGAGAACACTGGTATTTTATTTCTGTTATACAATTTCTTCTATAGTGCCATCTTCGTTCTGCTAGGGTTTGTTTGTTTGAGGTCCACTTAACTCAGTGCTTTTTTCTTCATACAATTTCGAGAACAAAAATTCATCTTCTAACACTTTTGTGACATCCTATGTTGCATTCAGGTTGTCAAATGAGTTGTACATTGAATTTTTTAGACGTTTTTTTCCGTTGTATGCGCTTTATGGCTGTCATCAATTGTTATGATGAGTTTAGATTAATCTTTAATTGAAACCAGATTATGACAAATTGTACATGAAATTAATACAGAAAAATTAAAGCATAATTATTTAACTCGCCATTTCCTCACAATGTCTTTGTAGGGGGCCCCAGGCCTCGGTGGTAACCCGGAATCCACAAAATTACACCAGCCGTAATACGTTAGCTCTATGATCGAGCAAAATTGCCGTTGTGGGTAAACGCGCTAAATACCTGCCAAATCTGTTGAAAATGTTATTAACTCGATTAGCTCAAGGGATAAATGTGAAAGTTAATCAGTAAAGAAATGGTGGTGCATCCTCGGAGGCCTAGTGACAGTCGGGACGACACGAAGTAACCGAGTAGTGTAGTCGGCTCGACGAAATTCTGCAACTGTACCGCTCGGGTTACGTGGTGTTGCCTCGGACTAACTGCTCTTAGCAGGGTTCGCAGGCATCTTGAACGTCGTTGAAGTCCTTGGATTGTTTGATTGTTTTCACTTAGTGGAAGAATTAAAAAAGACCTGTTATTCTTGAACAAATCTGACGGGTATCCCTTAACCTGAGCATGTAGTGTCACATTCTAATGGTATTTTTTCAGTGAGTGGAGTCCTCGGAAAAATCCGAATTGTTTCCCAGAAAGGTCTTGAAAAGTCCTTGAATTTGTCGTCTAAAAATGAGAACGAACCCTGTCCAAGAGAGACCCGCGTCTCCGTTGACCCATTGATGGAAAGTGTGCAGACCAAACAGTTGGGTTTCTTCAATGAAACTTTTCAACACTGAATGAGTTATTTGTAATTCTTTTAGCTTAAAGGCAAGTTCATAGAACTCTTTCCTTGCCTTGCAGTGCAAGTTAACTTAACTGAAACTCCGCTTGTTATTTACGCCGTCACAAATGTCAAGATCATCCCCTTAAATTTTCGTTAATTTGAAATGGCTCTGAACCCTGCCTACAGAATTGCAAAAAGTTGTATCTTAAACATGGTTATCAGAAGTCGATGGATTTCATCAAGGCGTTTAATTATAAGCGCTTGAAGCTAAAATCAAGGCTGTATTGATAGGTTGTTTCGTTGCTATAGTAACCTATTATGCCTATTAAGAGGACCACAACTTGTTCACCAATGATTGGGCGTTTGTGTGATACCTTTATTGCAGCGTCACTTGTTAAACAGTGGTAGCATTGATCCGTCAAAGTATAACTGTTGGAAACTGTTGCCAGCCACCCATTACTTGCAATCTTCCCGACTCTGCGCAGATGACATCATGAATACCGGAAGGCCATTCCGAAATTGCGCAGGGAACTGGGGCGAGTTTCAAATTTAAACCAATCAATAAACTGACACCACTACATGAAAGATCACGTTGAGAGTAGTCATTTGAACAAGTTTGATGCTTTTAGGGTGAACAGAGACAAGTTACAGACCTTGAAACATGGTGAGACGGCGTACCCCAAAACCATATAAACTCTTAAAATTTTTTTCATCATAATAATTATAATGTTTTATCGACTACCTCCGATTAAAACGCAAGGAAAACAGCCACATCCAGTGGATTTTGAGAATATTTCATGATCGCACTATCGCGAAACTCAACGTCGCATTTAATACATTAAAATTGTAATTTGTATTAAATGAAGTTACCTTCAAATATGCAGGCTATAATTTAGAAAGATTGTTTTGTTCCAGCCAAGCCGAAACAAACTCTATCGGCTTTCCCACTAAAAATACCTTTACGTCCAACAAGTGGTGCCTCGCCATTGCGTTTGAACACGTGCACGATTGACCCGCCCCCTACCCCCCCCCCCCGGGCCAAGACTGCCTTAAACAATTCCCCGTCCCCGTGCACGAAGGGCTGAATTTGTCCCGGGGGTTGCCCGGGAGGGAGATGATAACAGTTGGAATTCTAGTACGCATAAGCATAAGTATAAGAATATAAAAACTTTACGTTCTTATGCTTATGCGTGTGCTTATGTCACTGTTATGTTGTCCAGTGGGGACGTGGTTGGCATAAGTATAAAGATAGCATAAGTATAAGCATGTAAGCATAAGCGAAAGACTTTCAGCCAATCAGCGAGCACTTTATGCTTATGCCGACCATGTCCTCCGGCCCTAGACATAACACCGACATAAGCAGAAGCTGAAGCAGAAGCAGAAGGCTTATGCTTATGTCGCAGCCGTTCCCACTAGTGTATAAGCTTCTTTTATACTTCTGCTCATGCTTATGCTTGCGTCGCAAGTGAGTACCGTGCTTTCTGACTCCTTGTATCTCTGCAGTGAGTGGTTTCATGGCAAGAAACGCACTCTTTCTTGCGGAAAACTACGGACTTGCCTCACTGAACAATCCACAAACTCTCTCTCAGAACTCAATAAGTTGTGAATGTACGACATTAGTAATTATCATCAACTAATTTCTCCCTGTATCAATACGTTGTCAGCTCGCAGGTCAGGCAAGAGACTATTTTTTTGGGTCAGAAAAATAAAATATCGTTTTTTTTTTTGTACATTGTAAAGTTAGAAAACAAAAAGGTCATGATATTCCATACTGTAGAAAATTTACAGTAAGAGGAATCTTAACTGCGGAAATATTTGGGGTTTCTTATTTCTTTGGGAGGGTATACAATAGCTTTTATCTAAACCAGTCGTTTCAGGGGCTCCATGAAAAAAATCATTTAAAACAAAAACAAACATATCTTTCCCCTAGTAAGTGTGAATTGGGTGAAAGTAGAACATTCCTTCCTGTATTTCACACTTTTAAAATCTTAAAACAGCATTACTATCAGGTTTTCTGACTTTTAAATCACTGCGGTCAGTGAATGAAAAGATAACACGTCTGGAATCATCTGAAAATCTACGTGTTGCGTGCATGCGATAAGAAATCAGGATACACCTATACCTTATGTATGTAGGGCGGATTCCAAAAGAACGCAACAAGTTTTCAGTTGCAAAATAGTTCGACATTGTCTGGGCTGAAAGTAAATAAATAAATCAAAGGAAAACTACAGAATGTGAAAGTAAGTGTCAAGTGGGGGGGATAAGAAACCGGAAACTAAAAATGATAAATCAAGACCCTGCTGAAAAGTGCTCATTCCTGACATTTTCACCTTTCCCGACCACGTAAAGAACTGCTCATTCATTTAATGTGGAAAATATGACCTACATTATTTCGAATCATGATTAACAAAGACCATCGTTTTCATAAACTTTGTCTAAATCTATATGAAAACTATCAAAGTTATTTTTGTTTCCAGTCGTTTTACCTCAGACCTATCTGTTGTCCTCTATAGCTACCTAATAATTTGCTTTGTGTTGGTGTTCATTTTCAGACCATTTAGCTGTATCAATCGATTCAAGACTGGTTTTTGACTATTTTTTTAGACTTGTAGGGGTGCCTGAGAGAAGGAGGGGGTGGGGAACGGTCTTCATATTTGATCTGACCGCAAGGCATTTGTTACCCATTTCCTGACAGCGATGATTTATTATTTCAATCCAACCTGCCAAGATGTCACATCAGAGGTGTTTCATCTATTATGCATGCAAAATTAATGAAGTGTCAAAAGTGATAAACATTTAATGACTTTCTCTGCTGCGTTGAAGTAGTGTGCCTGTCTCTTTTACCAACCAGGTGAAGGAGAAGTGTCGAAACCTCTCAAAGTGAAATAAACTCAACTGTGCGTAAATAAACACAAAAAACGTTGCAAACTGTGCTTGTTCCACAGGTGCAAAATTTAGTAGAGCTAAATTTAATTATTTTCTCAGATCTGTGTGTCTTTTAGCCTCTTAAAACAGGAGTCAACTTGCACCTTCCTGACAGAATTTTCTTTTCAGGCAACTGGTAAAATTTTTTTTCAATTATGCTTCACGCGCGGTAGCGGACAACTATAATAATTCGTACGGCCGATTTCGCAACGGATAGCCTGCAGAACAGAGGGCTCGTGTATCGCGCTAGAGCCCGCTAATCCGCCTGTACTGCAGGCTACGCAACGGAGGACTTGAGAAGCCGAACACAAGCGACAGAACTGGTGATTATGCTCTCCTAATTGTCCCCAATGATTGTTCTTAACGGCAATGAAACAAATAAAAAGTATCTGGGGGACGAATCGTGCTGTCAAACTAAATTACTTGACTGACTCCCTTCATTACTAGGTGAAACTAAATAGAAGCAGTGAATGTCTCGACTCCCACGATTGGGATACTGCACAGTTCTATTTGAGTGTTGGCCAAAAAAACATACCGCCTGGTCAAGCTATTCAGTGTCATAACAATTTTTAGCATACAGTGTCTCTATCAACTACAATGCTCCTTGGCCTCCTCCTATCAAATCTTGTAACATACCTACGTAGTAAGCAACCTATTACATTGTAAATCGATTAGATACGGGCACTAAGAAATACGAAACTATAATTGTAATTTACTCTTTTCGTTTTGAATTCATCCAGTCTATTTTAATTCAGTTGTGAAGTGGAAGTGATAAAACTTGAAAAGTGAGCCTAAATCTCGGACCTTGAACTCGGAGAAGCAGGAAAGGGTCAATGATGCCTGTAATTGATAAAACTGTTTTTTTTTTTTTTTCCAGTTATGAAACTTAAAAAGAAGGAATCGGTGATTTGCTCTGTTTTGAAAGATATTTTATTTCTAAATGTTTAAAATGACATCGAAAGATTGGTAAACAGCGACGAAAACCGCTCGGGACAAAAAGGCGAAAATTAACCAGATTACTATAGTAGGTAATGACAGCAAAAAACATAAATCAACACGCCAAATGAATCGAGTTTCCAGGTCTCGAAATCCTCAAACATTCAAGATATTTCGGTTATTCTACCTCACAGAATTTAACCAGTCAAATCTTCAGGTTTCTGCGGAACTAGCTACTGAGTTTGGTTTGCGCGCACGTCATCTTCACTCTGAGGCGAACGGCTGTGTAAGTACAGCTTGCACGCCAATGTAAACACATCGTCCTACGCTTAAACCGATTCATTCTTTTTTCAATTCTGATGATTCTTTTGCAAAGTTTGCAGGGGATGTTCGGGCTGAAACTATAAATCTTGTTCCGTGAACTATTTTGGAACGTTTCAGCGAGGAAGGCGTCACGCGCGCGGTGAAACTAAAGGAAGTAGGAGTCTCTTCTGTGACGTCACATCGACGGATATTTTCTTTCGGCACATTATTGACACTGGGCATACATTTCCATGCAAAGATGATGTGAACTTGTTCTATCGCGATCGGTCTAGGCACTCGGCGGTACCGATCCTTTCTTTTACATTTTAGTTAGACTTTTGTATTTATTATTTTTTAACGAAATTGTTACTGAACTGGGTCCTAATATGCCCACAAGTCCTAGCTATTACATGTTCGTTATCTTGTTCGCGGTCGCCGCAATGATGTTGAACTCGGCGACGTGTCGAACTCGCACAGTGTATTCCAATACATGGGTTGTGCAAGTCGATGGCGGTCTGACAGGGGCTGAGAGGATAGCAGCCGAAAGAGGTCTTACACTGTTAGGACAGGTAAGGGAACAAAGTCTTATGATATATCGTGTCGTGATTTTGCTGCGTTATTTCATACGCGGGTTCGAGTATCGCAAGGGAATTCAACTTATCGACAGATCTATGAGGTTTGGGCGGTTTTGTTTGCGCACTAAACGAGAAACATTTATGTTTTGCCTTGGTCGATAGGTTGGAAGTTTGGAAGGATTTTATATGTTCAAGCATAATACACATCCTAAACGATCGAGACGCGATGCCGTGGATATTACATCGGAGTTGAGCGAACATCCCAATGTAAGTATCGTATGAAGTATTGTTGTTATCGGATACATGTAAGTTTGAGGAAGTTTATTCCCTCAGTAACTATATCTTGGCAATTCTTCCTTGTTTCAGGTTATTTGGGCCGACCAGCAAATTGTAAAGAGACGCGTACGCAGGGATTTCGATCCTCACTACAACGACCCAGATTTTGATAAACAGTGGTTTCTTGTAAGTATTATACCGGTAAATTATATTGAGTGATGAAGGAAAATACTAGTGCTTTAACCCATGAATAAGCGATGGATAATTGACGACGAACTGCTATGTCAAATACATTTTTGAAGTGTTGTAATTCACTCTATTCAACTCAAGTGAGCGAAATAGACAGGTTAATTAATTGATTTTTGGGACTCAAAAACGCGGGATTTTTCGATTTTAAAATAAGCGTATTAATTATAAACATCGCGTAAGCCAGATTCAGTATTTAACTCTTATAGCTTACAATGATTGCTATTTAAAGTATTGCGGAGGGAGATTATTTTTCTAACATGTATGATGTCAATATATAATACAGCAACTACATGTATACTCAATGTGAATAATATTGCTTCACCCCTTTGTTGAGCTATATGTTAAAATGCCATTAAATTAGTTGTTTAGATCCCGTTAGACCGATTTACATGTCAATTTGTCAAGCAGATCAGCTGGCAACAACAACAATCTTTATTTCGTGCCCAATGATGGTACAAATACATGAGATCAACCAATTCAAGGAAACTGGAAAGTCAATCAGCAGAATGGACTGTCTCTGACCTCTTGTAGGAGTGCACGGAAACCCTGTTTATCGGGTTACTGCAGGGAGTAGAGGAGATGTTCATATAAACGACATGTCTGATGAGTCACAGACGAAAAACACAGCCTGTACACTGTTAAGAGGCTGGCCTGGTTCTTTGTAATGAGATAAACATTTTGTTCCTATAACTGTTCAACCTTGGCTCAAAAAAGAGCAAAAAAAGCATTTGGCAAAACTCAACACTGATTGTCTAACAGAACAAGGTCTCCCTAAGTCTGCATATGACCCAAGTGGCCCATTATGCTAGGGCATATCTCCAGTTTAATAAGCATGAAGTGACCAGGAGTATTCTACTCCCTCTTGGATGGGATGCTAGTCCATTGCAGGGTTACCCTCCAGCATTAAATTCGCTGGTACTCATTTATACACCTGGGTGGAGAGAGGGACTGTGAGAGTAAAGTGCCTTGTCCAAGAGCATAACACAAGCCCGGCTAGGGCTCGAACCTGGACCACTCGTTCTCGTTCTAAGGCATTAAGTTAGGATGATAGTGCAGTGAATGCAACCTAATCATCACAGGCTAACGGAAGAAGCTTTACAATCTGCACTTACTTTTTGTTATTTTTTAATTTGAGTTCTATGAAACCACAAAGTAAAACTCAAACCCTAACCTGAGGGTCTGACTTACCATGCATAACCATCAATAGGATACTACTTCAATCTTCCTTTCTGGACTCACTTGCTCAAAGGGTGGATAATGCCATCCACCTGATAAATCACTATACAGTGGATAGTGTAGTTTGTTTCGCCAAAACCTATCCACTGGATAGTGATTAATCAGGGCCCAGTAAATCGAAGGCTGGATAATGCTATCCACTGGATAAATCGCTATCTAGTGGATAGCGTTATCCAATCTTTGAAAACTAGTACCCTGGACTGGAATGTACCTGTTGTGTGACATGTGCAGAGGTATAAAAAGTATAAAAACTCAAACACTCCTGGTATTGGGATTTAGCCATGCAGTTTTTTTCTTTTCAGCATAACACAGACAGCATATTTAGAGGCTATGACCACAATGTCCTTCCAGTTTGGGGACAGGGTGTTACTGGGAAGAATGTTGTTGTTTCTATATTGGATGATGGTAGGTTTTCCTTAACTGTCTAATAATTTTCATTGTAAGACAGTTTTTTGATACATTGATATCTCAATGAAAGCTCTAGAGTCTGCTGTTAATTAAGTATTCTGAAGATATTTTCCTGCACAAAAATATGCTAGTTACCAGGAAATCTGGCTTCAGTTGCAATTCGATCTACCCATTTTCCCATCTAAAACAACGGGAAAATCCAACGGATAGCTCATCTCAGACAGAAGATCAGGATCTGTTTGCTACATGGGAAATTATCTGTTTTCTAGTTAGATAATAGCTATTTTTTTCTTTGCAATTATATCATTAGTGTTGTTCATATTGTATTTGTCAACAGTTTTTGTTTTAACTAGTCACTCTGTACCCCTTTATAAACACAGTGAAGACAGAAAATAAATTAATATAAAGCTGCTGACGTTTGGTATTTTATTTATGATATTTTCTATTAATTGCTTTTGTAGGAATTGAATATACACACAGGGATTTAAAGGCCAATTATGTAAGTACTTGAGAGATTTGTGTTACCTAAAAATTTTAACGAAACATTTTTGCCAACATTATGGTTACATCTGAATTTCACTGTAATGAAGTTGTACAGTACAAGAATGTACAAGATTTGGGGGTGTATTTTGTTATTATTATCATTAAGAAGTTCTTGGTTTCATTGAGACAAAGCAAACTAAAAGTAACTAGAGACAATAAGTTTGCCTTTGTTTAAAAATCTCTTCAAGTTCTTCATTTGTATCAAAGCATAATGTTAATGCCGTGATCATCTTAACTTGGATGTGAAGACAGTCTTAATTTTTTCACATAGCTATAATATCCCTGTTAGTCAGTACATTTTGAATTGTGCAGAATGAGCTTGAAACAGAACTATTATTTCTGCTTTTAAGGATCCAGCAGCTAGTTATGACTATAACAGTAATGATGCAGACCCTGCACCAAGAGCAACATGGAATGATGAAAACAGGTCAGTTGATTTGACAACACAAGGGTTAAACAGAGGGTGCAACATCAATGATCCCACACTATTGAACAGTGAAGTATTCTACTCCTGTGAGTCACAAAGACATAATTATGTAATAGCAGAATGGTAAATTAAGACAATTTTGCATGGTCTATTTCAAATTAGGCAGTTCGATTGGCTAACTACTTAATAGATTCCATGTAACCATGCATCTGCACCATTCACCGTCAATTCCCTAAAAATGATCAATGCCACATGTTCTCTTCACAGTATCAAAACATTGTTAAGTAGACAAATGATGAATCTTTGCAAGACGAAAACATCTCTTTTCTTGATCAGTCGTCTATTTTTGTAATAAGAATTTTATTTGTTTCTTACTCTCTGTAGACATGGAACAAGATGTGCAGGTGAAGTAGCTGCAGCAGGAAACAACAGTGTCTGTGGGGTGGGTGTGGCACCAGGCTCAAAAGTAGGAGGTAATCTGCATGACCATATTTTGGTTAAAGTAATATTTCAAACATGAAAGATTGTGTTTGACCACATTTCCAAGCACCAGGAAGAGAGTTAATTTGCAGCAGAGTATTTATGATGAACAGGCTTTTAGCCAGGATTTGAAAAGTGGGCATCCAAAATGTGCTACAGGACCTGCTCAAATGAATAATTTAAAAGGCAACATAAGAAAAATAGAATGATTTTCTGTAATAAGTGGCTATCCACAGGACCCCTGGATGCCCATCTGGCTAAAAGTGTGATGATTAACCTCAAGGAGTTTGGATGTGTGATCAAGCACTGTTTTGAGTGTTTGATAATTATCTTCTCAATCAAAACTAAAACTAATGAGAAAAAGGGAAATAAAATCATGAAAATGTCTTGGAAAAATCTGTGCTTAAATTTTCAAAACTTTAAGGTGGTTCCCCATGTTCAGATTTTTTAAAACTTTGGCAAAAGTTGCTTCTTACCATGTTTATCAAAATTGATAACATGAAAAAATTTCACCGTGCCGTTTTTGAATTATAAGACCCTAAATCTGTAATTAAGGGTGTTTTTAGCAGGTCATACTGTTCCTATGGTAACCTATTGTGTCACAAAAAATAATGATAACAACATTTTCACCAATGATTGGGCAGTTTTTAGATACCATGATTGTAGCATCGAGTGATATATAACGAGTGGTTATAATGACCCATCAAAATCTAAGTGCTGGAAACTGTTTTGAGCCACCTTTAAGTGTTTATGGCAACATTATTAGAATTATGAACCAATCAAAAACAAAATAATACTAGTAAAAGTTTTGTCAGGAACTTGATATATACATTGTCAACAACTAACGCTTGGTATACTATTGTTGAAGATACAGAATGTAATTTGGCAATGAGTTATCTAATGGCATTATTCTGTGCGTTCAAGGTGTTCGAATGCTAGATGGTGATGTGACAGATGCAGTAGAGGCCTCATCTCTTAGTCTCAATCCACAGCATATTGATTTGTATAGTTCAAGCTGGGGACCAGATGATGATGGAAGGACAGTCGATGGACCGGCTAAATTAGCAAAAAAGGCATTTGAAGATGGTTGTAAAAAAGTAAGTGAAAATATCTTCTGTTACTAAATTCTTTGCCAGTTATGGTAAAAGTGAACTGAGGTGGTTTCACTTGTGAATAAATGACAGTGTTATAACTTACAACTGAATGCTGTTTTGTTTGTCTGACGAGAATGTATGAATAAGAGGATAAGTGCATGGAGGGACACTAGCAGGTTCAACTTAAGTGTGGCACATGATCAGAACAAGTTGTGCAAATGTAGGAACAGTCATGTATGCTGGCAGTACTAACAAAACATTAAAACAATAAATAATATGAATTGATATTTGACTTAATAAATGTATAATAATTATTAATCTGCTCATGTAGTCTTAATGCTGCAAGCCCTTAGGAAATACACCCGTAGTGAGTTATGTCTCTGAAATACCCTCAGTCTTTCAAGAGGTGGAGCTTACTGGGGTAAGTTCAATTTTCATTCATGGAAAAAGTTCAAGAATGTAGCTTATCATTTTCATCTCATTTGATTAGGGTCGTGGTGGATTAGGCTCCATTTTTGTGTGGGCTTCTGGGAATGGAGGAAGAGGTCATGACAGCTGCGCATGTGATGGCTACACAAACAGTGTTTACACCCTGTCAATCAGTTCTGCAACAGAACATGGAACGTCTCCGTGGTATTCAGAATACTGCTCATCAACTCTTGCTACTACCTTTAGCAGTGGAAATTATGAAATGAGAAAAATTGTAAGTACTTGGTAGTTTGGTTGCTTGCAATATATATATTTGAATAAGGTTTTAAAATTGTGTTGCTTTTGAATATTAAGACTTTTCTCTGGGTGTTTTCTTATTATGCAAAAATCTCGAAAACATCATAACTTTCATAGTTTTATTTTTTGGTTATCATGAGCTCAAACTTTAGTACAAAGGCATTACCTAAAGATTTTGGAAAAAATGATGAGCTACTGTCTGTAGGTCATTGTCAGTTCCAGTAAGCAAACAGTTTCTTCAAGAGTGAAGCTTGAGGAAAGCTATGATCTTTGAGTCATCAACAAACATCCAGGTTGCATATTTTTGAGGCAGATAACACACATGTGGCACTACTTGCCTTTTAAGACTGTTCATAAATAGAACTGTTATTTGTTTACTTGTTTAAGGTTACCACAGACCTTCATGGACGATGCACAAATTCACATACAGGTACATCTGCTTCAGCACCTCTTGCAGCAGGAATATTAGCTCTTGCTTTGGAGGTTAAGTAAGTATCAGAGTTTACCTTACCTTAAATTGGGCATTCTCCTCTGAGCTGAATTTTTTTACCAAAGAATGTTCATCAAAATGTGGGACATACTTTTGTCTGTATGCTTGCATCCATATACTTTGTTAGTTACACGTATCATATACTTCATTATGATTTTACTTTGGCAGGGGTTAATAGACCCTCCCAATATTCCAACAAACAATGGCGCTGAGTCAAGGTCAGGGGGGACAAAAATACAGGGAATGTATGAAAATGTCCATCCTGATCTCATTCTGTTGCCATTGTTGGTGTGGGTATATAAGATGTTTTCCTAGAACCACATCAATGTACACATGATGAGATGAGAGTAAGCATAGTTACCATTTATATATCACCTATACTGATACCAGCTCTTTCTAATGATTTGCAAGTCATTGGTGTGTTAATACTTTCTGTTCTTGTACTTTGACTAACCTACACTGTTTTGTTTCATACTTTTTTTTTTTCCTTTAGTCGTAACTTGACCTGGAGGGATATGCAGCATCTTGTTGTTCGTACCTCATCCAATGCCAAGTTAAAATCTGATGACTTTGTTATCAATGGAGTTGGTAGAAAGGTCAGCCACAAGTTTGGTTATGGCTTGCTTGATGCATTGGCACTTGTCAACCTTGCAAGGAAGTGGAAAACTGTACCACCACAGCATGTCTGTCGTGAAATACCAGAGGCACAGCAAAGGTGATCATACTATTTAAATTAAAATAAATTTCTAAAATGATGAGTTGTTAACGCATACTGGAACCTTCTTTTGAATAGCCTGACTGGTTTTTATTTTGTAGTGTTCCACTCCAAAGACTCACCAACTAGCTAGCTTGTGCACTACAAGTGGATACATGTAGGATAACTGGGATTGTCTGGGTTGTTTGCCTGACCAACTTGGAGATATAGTTGGTTGGTGGCTGAGATAGGAAGTCATCAACTCAGTCTCTCTATAGTGCCCTCACAGATATCCCAGTGCCAAAAACAGGTCTGAGATTTCAGACGTGGGTGAACAGTAGCTGTAACTTGAGCTGCAATCCAAAGCGAGGGAGGCTATTGGATACAGCAGCCCTGCATGGGGAGAGGCTCGCTCTATTTTTTTAAAGTTTATCTGTTCTTCAACCTGACTCTTTTTTTTCTTAGGCCTATCCCTGGGACAGGCACTTTGAAGGTGACTATACCATTTACAGCTTGTTCAGATAAGAGTGACTATGTGCGATACTTGGAGCATGTCCAGGTAGTCACAACACTGACTTTTACGCGACGTGGTGACCTCAGCATCAAGCTGATTTCTCCTCAAGGTACAGTTGCAATTTTGCTGCCCCAACGTAAAGAAGACTACTCAAGCAGTGGCTTTACAAATTGGGAATTCATGTCAACTCATACTTGGGGTGAAGACCCAAAAGGAACTTGGACACTGGAGATTGAAAACCATGGTAAACAAAGCTTTGTAAAGCTTATTAAGTATTTACAATTATTGCAATAGCCTGAAAGATCCCTTAGCACAGGACACAACCAGAACCAACCAGACAATGATAACCAATCACATGGCAGAACTGAAATAATAGATTCCAACCTTTTTCAAATCCAGCCAATCAAATCTCCAATTCAGAACAATGAAATCTCGACTTCTTTGTTGTGATGCTTATGGGACTATGGTGTCAGTGTTAATAAATTGTCAAGCTCAAGCCATTTAAGCACTTTCACATTAGAAAATATTGTTACTTTACTTTGGATGACACATTTATAAGCGTGATAAACTCATTAGATTGACTGTTTTCCACTGTGAATGTACGGCCACACAAAATATCATTTTTACGGTTGTTGTTTAAAATCGTAAAATAAAAGATTTTGACACTTTTTTAAAAAAAATAAATTCTGTTCCTGTTGTCTGTGCGTATTTCTATTTTTACACAGCTTTCGGTTGTCATTAATGCAGCTGACTGTGAAATCCACCATGCAGTTCTTGGAAAAACCATCGCATTCACTGTCTCGTCAGCTGTACATTTCGGAGTGTGAGCTCTCTTTCTGGGTTATCAGTGTATTGAAATAAGATCTTTATCAAAAATTCAAACAAATAATTTTCCGCATTGTACTATCAAAGCCTCAACGTGTAAAATCACTCAGGCAAAAACAAAAGACAATAGTGGCACGCATAGGAACCTCCCTGGATGGAAGAATTGAAGATATTTCAATCAAAGAATTCAGGTTACAAGTCCATTTTTGTATCAAGTTAACTTTTCAGCTCTCCTGCTTGAAGATTGCTTTCAGCTCCTCTCAGTTACGTCGAAAATAATTTGTACATTTCAAACCTGCAGACCATTTGAAGGGTTTCTTTTAAACAGCTGCAACAATATTCTAACCCTACACTATGCACTCTGCTGGGGATACATCTCAGCAAGTGACACTTATGCAGCTTTTCTTTTCATGTATTTTCTAAACCAACCAACAACCCTATAGTGCAGCATATAATTCTTCTTAAACCTGCAAGCACGCAAAACTGCTAAACGTTGGAGCTCATAGTCATTTTAGCATCACAATGAACAAGTTGAGATTTCATTGTTTCATTCTCTTATGGACATTTACAAAGACCATGCCATAAAATGGCTAAATTTATTTGTGATTCTGAGATAGGTCCACTGAAATATTGACCCATTTGCTCCCAATAATGGCCCTAAGCTTATAATGAAAGGAATCTGAATTCTCTTTGATAAACCAGTGGATACAGATTTAAGTTTAAGTCTTCATTCAAAGTGATAAACACTTGGCTTATGATTGATCACATGACCCACTTAAACTGTAAACTTGATTGAGATATATATGAACTTAACAAGAAATGTACACTCAAATAAAAAATATAAGTATGTGGTGAAATTAGCTGGAATGCCAATATTCATGCCAGTGTTTTTAACACTTTAAGATTGGAATCTCTGAAAAATTACAAGCGCATGAGGTTGTGGGATTTTTTTCTCCAGGTGCCTCTCGGAATAGTGGAATGCTCAAAGATTGGTATTTGGTTGCATATGGAACATCACAGCCAGCTCAACCTAATGATTCCACAAAGGAACCAGTTCCTGCCTGTAACTTGGAATGTCAGAAGGGATGTACTGGACCAAAAGCAGATGAGTGCAATGAGTGTAAACACTTCAGAAGAAGTACCAACAATGTAAGAACACTATAGCACTAAGTATATATCATTTTATAACATCCTATAGAAAAAAAACAGCTAATCAGATTACAGGAAAGCTCTTAAACCTGATGGCTCCCATTGTGCATTGCAGTGATTGTGTTGACCACTGTATATTCTTATGTGGCATGGTATAAAATAGTTATGTAAAGGCTCTCCTGGTATACCATTGAATATCCCACTTGTCACTTGTATTTTCTTGGTACACACACTCAGTCCTAAAAGGCTTATGTGTATACCAAAAATATAATATATTAAGTTGCTGATGGGACATTTCATTGTATTCCACCTGTTGCACAACTAGTATATCTCTATCAAATTGACTGCAAATGTATGTTACTAGCTTTTCTATTGAGTAGAACTCCTGCAGTGATGAATTAGAGCAAGGCATCTCACAGATGTGTAGTCTTATTATTTTTTTCACTTTAGGGAAACATTTGCAACTTCTACCTGGTCATGTTACTGACCTTTTACAACTCAGGCAGTATCTTAAATGAGCTATAGAGTGTTTTCACATGACACCACAGCAGCCATGTTGGTGTCCCAAACCAATTCTGTGGGAGTTGAAATCTTTTGTTATGTAAACACTTTCTTTTGTTCCAATAAATTTGTATAGCTGCTGAACGCTGCATTCCATGAAACAGTGCTATCTGTGGCTTATGGAAAGTTAATACATTATAATGCTAATTATCTTGGTAAGAGAAAATATATTTATTTGCTTCAATGATGTAACTGACATGAAACATTATCATAATGTATAGGAATGTGTTGCTGACTGCACAAACACAGAGTTCAGAGATACCAATGCAAAGCTTTGCAGACCTTGCAGTCCTGTGTGTGCAACTTGTCATGGCCCCAACACATCTGACTGTCTGTCTTGTCACTCACCCCTTATTGTACACAATGGAAGCTGTGTGAACTTTTGTCCTGATGGCTTCTACAAACATGTGCAAGATTCTGTTGTGATGTGTGGAAAGTGTGACAAGTCATGTCTAACGTGTGCTGGTGATGCAACATCCTGCAGCTCCTGCACTTCAGACTATAGACACTTTCTGGGAAAGTGTATAGCCAAATGTACTGATGGACAGTATTTAGAGGCTGATGGACAATGCGGACCTTGTCATCCTTCTTGTCATAAATGCCATGGTGGTAGTGAAAGCTCCTGCACAGAATGTGGTACTAAAGATGTACACCAAGTATTATTTCTGCATGGTGGTGAATGTAAGGCTTCTTGTCCAAGTGGTTTCTTTGGAGACAAAGACCTCAAAGAATGCAAGCCTTGTGATTCCGCTTGCAGCAGCTGTGCTGGTCCTTCAACTTCTGAATGTGTGTCCTGTGCTAAGGGATCTTTTAGACTTGGTGCTCCAGTTGGTACATGTGTTGCAAATTGCCCTGAAGGTAAGTTTTATTATGGTTTAGAAGTGCCTGTTTAAGAAACGTTTGAATGCCTGCAACTAGGAACTTTGGTTCCCAATGTATTACATGACTACTGGTGTAGTAGTAACTGGCAGAGATGGGGTTGCAGAACTTTGTTATTCCATCACAGATTGTACTCCAAGCATATTGACAGGCTACTCCAACAGTTTGGCAGAACTTGCGTATGACTAAGTGGAGAGAGGCACTGCAAAACTTGAAGTTTCAAGGAAGGATAGTAGGAATTATTGTAGCATGGTTTATAAGTTGATGGAGGCAATTTACATATCCTGTTTTTCCCTTTATCAGGTCAGTTTGGTGAATCATCTAATGGAACATGTGCTCGTTGCCAGTCATCATGCAAACATTGCGACCCTGTTGAGCCTACTAAATGCACCAGCTGTCCAGTGGGCAGATTCCTTCACATGCATCAATGCTTTTCTGCCCAACAGTGCCCTGCAGGTACATATGGAAATACCACGTCTGGGAGATGTGAAAATTGCCAAGTTGGATGTGCCTCTTGTAGTCTTACCTCTGGTCTGAAGTGCGTTGCTTGTTCAGAAGGATTCGTCATGCACAAATCTCAGTGTCTGATGCGCTGCCCTGAAGGAACCTTCCCCAGGCATTCCAACAGGTCAGAATGGGAATGTTTTGTGTATGTTGGTAGTGACTGGATTGTTCAGTGTAGTGAACAACCGGCCGTTCAGTAGCTAGCTAATTACTTGAAGAGGACATTACTTAATTTGTACCTCAAAGTTATGCAATAAAAGCTACCTTTAAGAGTTAACAAGCAGTTATTTCGCTGTCAAGCTTATTTTGAAGGAGATCTCTTGATGTTGTGATGTTGCTACTTAATAGTCGACATACCTTTTATGCAACCATTAATTTAAAAGCATGTTGTTCCTCTTGTCACACAGTTGTGTCCCATGTAATTCTACGTGCCAGACATGCTTCGGTGAAGGCAGTGATCAGTGCCTCTCGTGCTCTCTTCCAAGGCTCCTTTCTGGTTCATCATGTGTCACCAAATGTCCAACTGGAATGTTTCACAGCCAGGTTACTCATAGTTGTCAGTCGTGTCACGCAACGTGTGAATCATGCAGTGGACCATCTACTAGTGACTGCCATTCTTGTAAAGGTATTTATTTTTATTTCATAATGCAGGGTATAAATATGACAGACTATAAATCATGTACAGAACTTGTACAACACTTGTGTAGTGTTTCAACACGTCTTAGGACAATAGTAATTATTTCCAAAAAGACTTCTGAAGAGTGCCAAGGGAGATTTCTAAAAATGATATAACTAGTACCGTACTTGCTTTAAACTCAGAGTGCTGGCTAAAACATGTTATGCAAAATTGTTCGACAAAAAAATAACACACTGATTTTGTGCAAAAGCCACAAATGGATTAGAAACAACGGCTTAATTTAAAAAGTTGATATTTGAAATTGTACTTTACCTTTTGAATGCCTTTTTTGGTGATCGATAATGACTTTAAGCAATTTTAGAAAAATATATCAGTTTGTATTTCTGGACCTACCCAAACTTAAAGGGATTTTCAGGACTTCAAAGCCTTCAGGATGAGAAAAATCAAATAACGTTGGTCCAGCCTTCACAGTCTATATGTCTTCCAGCTGCAAGCAAAAGCTAATTCCATCAACAAATTATACGCCATTCACACCAACTAAACTAGATTTATTAAATCAGGTTTATCTTTTTGTAATTTGTCGGTTCCGCTTTCAAACCACTTTGCTACCATATTTTAATCAAACAAGTTTTATCAGGTTAAGTTGTCGGGTGTGCACGATATGAGGTGCTAATTTTTAACCTTGCTTAGTTAAACCACTCACAAACTTGTTTACAGTTCTGAACAGGGTATTAGACTACGAGGAGTCGGGTTTTGTTCCTGAAATCGTCCGCGCGCGGATCTTAGTTACTATTGTGCAAATCAGGAAAAGAAACGAGGAGGGAATGGGGCTCCGGAATAGGGCTCCGCACCGGCCCTTCTCGTGGCTAGATCGCTCTCACATCTTCGCACGCTAGATACTTAACTTCTCGCACGCTAGGGAAAGAAAGAGACTGCTCGCAATCTATCAACAAATCTGTTGCTGTTAATTAAAATATGATGCAGTGTGAACTTAAGTCGTATTTTCTTTCCAGCCGGCTTGTCGCTCAATGGCTCAGGATGTAAAGCATCTTGTCCAAGTGGCAAGTTTAATGCCAGTGAGGGCTGTCAGAGCTGCCATCCTGTGTGCCTTGTATGCAATGGTCCAACTGAAAAAGACTGCCTTAGCTGTAGTGAAATCAAATTTCTTGACCTACAAACAAAGCAGTGTACTTACGAGTGTCCTGATGGTTATTTTGGTGATTTGGAAACAACACACTGCAAGTCTTGTTCTCCTGGGTGTAAGAAATGTAAGAACAACGCAGAATGTTTGTCGTGTGGACCGGGGTTATTGCTTGTGGGCAACTCATGTCAAACACAATGTCCAGCAGGTCATTACCGCAGCAAAGCCAACTCTTGTGAACCTTGTGATGGTATGTGTAAGGAATGCGCTCTGTCCTCCAGTAACTGCATCCAGTGCCAAGAGCATGAAGTGCTGAGTCGTGGCAAATGTGTCAGCATTTGCCCAGTGGGAACATTTTTGCTGCAAAATACAAAGAGTTGCGTGCCCTGTCATTCTTCTTGCAAATCGTGCTCTGGACCCACAGCTAATGATTGTACAGGATGTGATACCAAATCTGTTATGGTGAACTCAAGATGTTTGGCATCTTGTCCTTCAGACTACTTCTTTGACAAGGAAGCGAACAGTTGTCAGCCATGTGACTATTACTGTTCAACCTGCAAAGGAGGTGGGTTTTATAATGTCTCACATCTTTTATAGAGTTGATTTAGTAACATAGAACCTACTGTAAATGTCCACAGCGGTCAAATTCCTTGCGCCCTCGTAGTTCCGCTAAAACCGCCATTTTTGGTGTCTTTATCTTCTGACATCCTCCACTTTCTAGCTAAAATTTATGACCCTACATACGTTTTGTGGGAGGCGTGGCTTCCTCATGGTTAGAGCGCTCGTCTCCGAATCGAGCGGTCCGGGTTCAAGCCCTGGCCCGGGACACTATGTTGTGTTTCTGGGCAAGACACTTTACTCTCACAGTGCCTCTCTCCACCCAGATGTTTAGAGGGGTACCGGCGAATTTAATGCTGGAGGTAACCCTGCGATGGACCAACATCCCATCCAGGGGGGAGTAGAAATACTCCTAGTCGCATCCGGGATAAACTCCGACCTGATGGGCCACTTGGCTCTTATGCAGAATTTACATACCATACGTTTTGTAACTCGCATAGAGCTCGTACGTTGGTTTACCACTCCTCCTTTTGTGACATTTTCTTTTCGTTTTGTAACAACTTCATTTTCACTTTTAACTCTTATAACTTCCAGGCTTCATACTTACCTTCCACTGTCCACACTCTTCATCCATTGAACGGACCTTAACCATATTCAAGGAAACATTAATTAAATGGGGGCTAACGCAAGTAATTGTGGAAAGTTCTAACAACCCGTTTTATACCGCAAACGTTTTTCATTGACCTCTAGTCTGGGAAATTAATTTGGGCGAGTTCAACAGCAAAATTCACTTCAATTTTGCTTTTAAAGGGGATCGTGCATTTTTCATAATTCTTATTGAATTGTATTGCAGGAAATGGTCTCAGAAATTGCACTAGATGTGTATCACCATTTGTACTATACAAGCACTACTGTATCAGAGAGTGTCCTCAGCATGGTTGGGTGTTAGATAGCGATAATCAAAAGTGTATACAATGTCACTCTTCCTGTGCGAGGTGCATTGGACCCACAGCAAATGACTGTATTGCGTGCAGGGAACCTGATACAAGTCTTGTTGGATTTTCATGTAAGAAGGAATGTCCCACTGGAACATTTGCCAATCAGGTGACAGGGCTCTGTGAGAGATGTCACCCGACATGTCAAACGTGCTCAGGAGCTGGTGCAGACAGTTGTTTATCATGTGCAGAAGACTTGGTTCAAAATAGAAGCACAGGCAGATGTAGCTCAGTTTGTCCACAAGGACAATTTTCAACCGAAGGAAAATGCAGCGAGTGTCATCCAAATTGCAAAAGTTGCAATGGTCCAGGCAGCTCCAACTGCCTCAACTGTCCCGAGGGCAAAGCGTTCTACAATTTTACTTGTGTAAATGTCTGTCCTGATCGGACTTATGTCACTGATAAGAACGGCATTCATCAGTGCCAGCCGTGTCATCCAGTCTGTCATTTATGTTATGGCCCGTCTATGGATAGCTGTCTCATGTGTAAGAATCCACTTTACCTTGAGGGCAGAATGTGCGTTGTACAGTGTTCACCTAATCATTCTATCGATGAACGCACAAGATCTTGTAATCCATGCGGAAGTGAATGTAGATCAGTAGCTAGAGATAAACATCGCTCCATTCAGTACCCAAATAACAAAGCATTGGAATTTGTACTGAAAGATCCTAAAGCGAACGGGGTATCTATCATCGCCATTGCAGCTGTGTCAGTGTCAATAGTCGTGTTCCTTGTTATGTTTGGAGTTCTTCAGTTTCGATCCAAGAAGCAACTGAGATACACCAAGGTCAATGTAGAACCATTCAGCAAGGAGGACGATGAGGAAGACAGTTTTCTTTTAAACGGTAGAGACGACAGGCATGAAGATTCTTCCTTTTAAGGCAATCCTAGTCTTCAGTTGTCAAAAGACCTGTTTAACATATGTGGCATGCCAACTGGACTGCAAGACTTCTTTCACAAGTTATGTATATTACTTCAATAGACAATACACATACCGCCAGTCGGCATGTCCTGTAGTCAAGATTAACTTATATGAACAATTCCAAAATACTGAGTTGCCTAACTCCAAGTAGACTGATGTCTATGGTTGTGAATAACCATTGCAGGATGTCACTGATAATGTGTTTTGCTATATTAATGGAAAGGAGGGTGAAGGGAAGTTTATGGAATTTTAAAACGAGAAATTCAGATTCACCAAGTCATTTCATTTTGAAAATGAAAATTGCACTACTGGGGCTTAAATTATTTTGATATTAAACTTCAGCATTGTTAAAAAGAGCAAATGCTTAAAGTCCTCAGTCTCATTATTATCATTAATTCAATCTGATAGTCTTGCCGAACAATGCTATTTTGTATGTCTTGATAGTTCATTTTCTAACGCAATCCCAAATTTTAACAGCATACTGTAGTTAACAAGCGTCATCTTTACATGAATTGGTGACAGCGAAATGTTCTAAGTATTTTGATAGTAGAAGTTAATCCAGGGTAATGCTTTACGGCCTGTATAAAATCTATTACTGGGGCAAATTGGAATTTTTTAGTACATAAAGATTTCTTATGATGGTGACGAAAGTCTATATGAATATTATTTCAAAAATCAAAAATTAGTCTTAATCTCTTAGTTTTTACGTCAGTAAATTATTTAGTTAGTTTTAATCAAAAGAAGAATGTTTGCAGTGTTACGATCGCGATCATCATTATCCGTAGATCAAAGCACCATTTCTTACCAACGATGGTTTTTTTGGAGCGCCAAGTAATCACCAAACACCCAGACAAATCGATAATTATGGAGATAATAAAATTATTATTACTGCAACGACATAGTAGTAACAATTATAAAGTTTTCTTGGATTATTCAAGAGAAATAAAAATATTTTTGTATAATTTATTGTTTGGTATACTTTTAAGACTTAATTTCACGAGCTTTGATAGTTAATTTTAAAAGTACGGTTTAAAATATTACTCCGGATTGGTGATTTCGCACAATTTGCGGGGTCATGAGCGTCTTGCTGATCAGTTAGGGAGAGACCTTGGGAACGAGGCTGCTTGATGACGCCGATCTCAACCGCACTCCTCCTGAGGTATGGAGGTTTAGCGGCGACCTTCAGATGAAGATATACAGAACAGTAAGTACAGTGACAAATTGGGAGGAGAGGGAGGACAAAGGTGATCCGATGGCGGCTATTGGAAAGGAGGACAGGTAAGAGAGTGTAGAGGGAGATAGAAGACGCCTTACAAAAAATGCTAGAGCCTTCTATCGAAACGATAATGAATTGATGTTGGCGATACCTCTTATACTCGCTTGGGTAAGACCGCTGTAAATGGTAACCTATTTACACTGATCTTACCCGCCCTCCCACTGAGGTATGGAGGTCTGGCGGCCACACGGGAATAATACTGGAACACACGGTATTATAGAATATACAAACCACCAAACATACCCAGTCTCAAAAGAAAATCCCCAAAGCTAAAACCCAAAACTGAAAGAACTTCAAAAGGGACGGAAAAAGCAAAGGGGAAGAAAAGTAAAATAGAACTTAAGAAGGAAGTAGACGTTTGGAAGAGGATGCAGCAGGAAACGCGGTGATGAAATTCTCTAAGTCATTAAAATCACCATAAACGCGGGAGGCTTCCTGAGAATGAGGCAAATAGGAATTTGAAGTAAGCAGGTCAGAGGGGCCCCAGCCCGGAAGACATCGGCTAACTTAAGGTAACACAAGGCAGTTTTTCAGTTCGTCCAACCAACATGAGACATAACATCTTCCAGTGGAGAGCCCGACAAGGCTGAGGTAATGGCACATCCGGAACGAAAACTGTGAAGGGTTTCACCATTATCGATGGCATCTCGATGGCATCTCGCAGGTACTTTTTAAGGCGGGATTCTGCCGTAAAGTTTTAAAGCACTTTTAAAAAAGTG